CCATAAGGTAGTTCTGCCACATTAAGATATCTAATGTAGGTACGCTTTGTTCCTCTTATAACTGGTAAATTTTATGCCTTATTATACCTTGATCACTTTCATCTGCACAAAATGTCAGCTCCTTGCTAAAATGGATTTTTCCATACAGTTGATGTCTTCTTCTGGTCGGATAGTAGGGCTGCACTCATGGCGCTGAAGTCAGTGCGTACGCGCTCCTTGTTGATAAAGGAGTCCAAAGGGGTACTGAGGAGGGTGGCTGAGGAGAGAAAGGTCACGTTGGTCTGGGTCCCGGGTCACACCGGTATCCGGGAGCTCTCGAAGCCTGGGCGAGACACCGGGCCGCGGGGGGCTGGAGAGTTGCTCCGGGAATGAGACAGGCGAGGCTTATGATGGATTGACCCGCCCTTCCTCGGACCAGGGAGCTGCTTAGACTGACCAGAAGGGAGTGTAGAACACCAACAGGGGCCTACACAGGACATTGCAGGCTTAGGAGGCATCTTTGCTTGCTAGGCATTGGAGACCACCCGGAGTGTAGGTGGTGCACCGAGTGCCCTGCCTTGGCATGGGCAAGATTGGGAGTCTTCGGAACGGTCCTGATCAATCCAGACTCAGTATACGGTATTGGGCTAAAGGAGTTGCTGACCTTCTATAGGAGGGGCAGCATTCTGGACGCCCTCTAGAGCGGCCTGGGGTCACAACGGGCCCATCTGGTCGCCTAAGTGCTTGGACGCCCGCGAGGGTGCCCCCCTTTAATACCAATACCAATACCATACAGTTGATGTTGCAATTTTCGTCAATGTGGCCGTTTCTTCTAAAGATGCGTGCTTGCTGGCCCCACGTTCAATGAGGGTCAAATAAACATTGTTTATAACTTCCTTAGGCTCAATTGAATAGTATTTTGTACATTTGGGCGGGAGCATCTCCTGAGATACACTAGACTCGCACATATTTTGCCTAATTTGCACAAGATTCAACACACGCTGTATTACACACGAAATAAGAATGATTACTAGTAAACTTAAACTAAGTAGTATACCAAACCAAAGAATATTAAACACAGATAGGTATAAAATTATTTTCTATTACGGACCACAATTTTATCTCAATTCAAATTCTGAAACTTTAGGTAATAATCTTGTTGCATTGTATGTTAATGACCACCCTTGGATAATCCCATTCAAAAGCAATTGGTCACTTTCTTATATCTATGAACAGACTATAACAAAGTAAGGAATGTAGGCCGACTTGTAATTAAAAGAGTCTCTTACCTTCTCAGAATTCCTTACCCTAATAATCTAATTACCGAGAACTTGGTCGTCCTAAGTTTTTTCTCGTAATAAGCGATTATGTTAATGCCTTTATAGATATGTATAAAATCACACCATTGTTTCAATCAGTTCTAATTTGACTTAGTGAATACGGCGAGCACGGCGAGTAAGCGAAAAATTTTATCTCTAGATGATAAAGTTGCTTTAATTCGGGTGATTGAACGGGGGAAAAAAAAGTGATGTGAGACGTCGATACGGACTTACACCGTCGACTGTATCCACGATTTGGAAGTGCAAAGAAAAAATCATTCAGGTTGAAGCGGCAGGCAGTTCTAGTAAAAAACTAAGAAAGCCAAAATTTGAATATTTGGATCGGGCAATGTTGCAGTGGTTCCAAGGGCAACGTCTTAAAAATGTAACACTCTCTGGAACTATCGTAAAACTAAAAGCAGAAAAGTTTCCTGAACAGCTTGGCATTATCGATTTCGGCTTCGGAAGGATGGTTGGGGAAGTTCAAACAGAGACATGGTATAAATTATGGACAGATAAGTGGCGAAGCCAGTGATGTCGACAGAAATGTAATTACCGACTCGCTGGAGAAGACGTGGCCAAAACTAGCAGAAAAGTACCCTGCTGACGACATTTTTAATGCTGACGAAACTGGTATTTTTTACAAAATGACGCTAGAAAAAACTCTTAAATTTCGAAGCGTAAAGTGTGTGGGTGGAAAACTTTCTAAAGAACGTGTTAGTAGCTGGCAATATGAGTGGGAGAGAAAAAAGAAAGCTAGTCTGCATGGATGTCATTGCAAATTTTTGAAGAGGAGATACCGAAATGGGATGCAGATTTAAAGGGAAGCAAAATATTACTTCTCTTAGATAACTGCCCTGCACATCCCCATATTCCAAATCTACGGAATATTGAAATGGCATTTCTTCCAGCCAAAACAACAAGCGTATTTATTACAGCCGATGGACCAGAGTGTAATAAAAAGTCTTAAGAATCGATACAGGAAAAACATTTTAATGGAAATGATCGACAAAATTTGCATTAATATGCTAGATGCAGTAAACTTTATTAGTAAAGCTGGGAAAGAGGTGACAGCAGAAGCAATTCAACACTCTTTATTACCGAGACAGAATGCGAACAGGACTTGGAAGATGATCAGCCACAAAGCGAGTGGATAGTGATAGATCAAGATTTGCCTACAGCAGCAGACTTGAGGGAGGAAGCCATATTACAACAAGCAATAAAGGGTGAGGGACCACCATTCTACAAGCCCTATATGCAGTGAATCTGCTAGGGAATTTTTTTATGTATCATGGGGAAGATGCCCCTCTCGAAGGAATGGTGAAAATACAAGACAAAGTACGAGATGCGTACAAAAAAAATTCAAAAGAAAATGACTGATTATTTGAAACATTTAATGTAGTTCTGAAATATTTATGTAAAATGTTCCTTAAGTAGATGTTAAAATATGTATATAAACTCTTTATAACGAAAAAAAGCAGTCCGTTCAATTTCGCTAGAGTTTCAACTGTATTTTTATCTTTACTATGGGAAATTAAATTGCACATACTGTTTCTACGTATGTAAATTTAAAAAAGCTGTTTGAAATGACATCGCCAACGTTTACATTCCTGAAACTTTAACATAGCAAATAAAAAAAATCCGCGAATAATTAATATTTTTTACTGCAAAATTTGTCTGAAGGTCTTCTAAAAACGTCAGTGGACATGGAAACTGTCATTGGAAAGACAATGGAGTTAACTGGTATTCCAAGATCAACTTTGCGCTGATTCCTTGATAATGAATCACTAGAAAGGAAGGAACAATGTGACAAGGGCAACATGAAAGTGTTTAAGAATGGTGATGCAGAGTGGATTCCCAGGGAAGTGTATGCGATGTATGAGAGTAATCAGATTCCATCACTTGAATTGTTGCAACAGAAATTAAAATAAAATGGTCGATTTACTGCCAGTCGTGAAACAGTTCGCCGAATTCTCCACAAAAAACTTGCACATACTACTGTTCAAATCTTCTGGATTTCTCCTGCGTCAGTTGTTTATAAATCAAACTTTTGTTGACTGTTAGCTTCTTCAGAGAACAAGTGAAACTGGCTCGTATTCTATTCTGTTCCTCCTTATACAGGGTGTTTTCTAATTGAATGTCAATAATTAGGAGCGCGATTTATGTGTCCATTTTGAAAAGAAAACTTCATATGACCATATGTCCTAAACAACTTTTTTTTTCAAAAATAAAATCTATTTTTTCAATATCTGTAATATCACTTTAAATATTATGATGAAGTATGGCACACATATACTAAGTATGTACCACTTTTTTTTTAAATACGCCAGTGGCGGCCATACTGAATTTCACATGCCTATTTTGGCAGCGATTGGTGGCATGCCACTGATTTCTCTTAAAATAAAAATTATTCTTACAATCTTCAATAATTTCTAAAAAAAAAATAATGTTCTTGACTTTCTCGATCCGATGCACGGTTTTAAATTATTATTATCATTATTATTTTTTACTTAAGTAATTGTCTATCTGTTTTATTAAAATACTTCAAAAAATCAAAGTACTAATACGAAGTACTCAAAACTAATAAAATAATCGTTTATTATTTATCTTGTTGTTAGGATGTTATGTTATGTTCTATTTTTTTTTTCTGAACTGATAACTAAAAACTGGATATTTAATTTTAGATATATATTTTAATTTTTACAAAAAAAGTTCTCGATTTAATCAGTGCAATGTCGATGGTGCGCCACTAATTTCCTTAAAAAAATTATGTCACTTGCATTCTGCATTTATGAGCAGATTTGATCTGTTTTTTTTTTAGTCCGTCGTACTGTTATCAGATAAAAATAAAAACTAATTTCTCTGCATGCGTCCATTAACATGCAGAGAAGAGGTTTTTATTTTTTTAAGCGAAAACCATACATCGGATTGAAAAAAATCAAGAAATTAAATTTCTTTAGTGTTGCCTCTTAATTATTGTCACTCAATTAGAAAACACCATGATTATTGTTTGAGGGGGGCGGAGCTAAAGAAGGGGCATGAAAATTGTCTCGGATGCCTGATTCCCATATTGGTGAAGATTTCTATATATTCTTTCGTTGATAGAGGATTTGATTACATGCAACAATTTACGTTTTATCGAATAAAATTTGATGTCTGGTTTTGCGATTGTGTTCGACAGTTGCTGATGAATTTATTTGTCTTAAGGCTCTTTCATGTTCCTTGAACCTAATTGATATTTAGTCTTTGACGGATCAAAGATGTTGAGAGATTGTTGAGCAAGTCCTAAATCTGGTTTTGAACGTTATGTTTCTTAGGAGCTTTTGATGTGTATGTATTAACAAACCTTTATCGAGAGGACATCCAAGCGCATTCAAGAAAATGTAAAAGAATAAAAAGAAATATAGGGTATGCAATAGCAATAGGATCCTTTCCTGACTGTATGTTTCCTACAGCTAAAAATATAGCGCAGATGCTTCTCCAGATTAAGAAAGTTTCCCATACAGGCTAGATTTATAAACAAACACTCACAAGTTGCTTAAAATTTTGTGTAAAATTACAATCTATAAAAAAATGGAATTAGGCTCAAAATTAACTTTTGGAGCAATGTTTTTTCTAGAACTTTTACGCACTTTTGGAAAAAAATAGCGAAAAACATTCTTGCCAATTAATTGCTACTCAATGATAAATGAAGATACTAACCTTTAAGTCAGCAATTGCTTCTGTTTGCGAACTGCTTGTTCTGTGATATACTTTAATTAGATTTTCACGCATTGTAGCAATTATTTCATCGGTCTTCAAATTGGATTCGCTACACAAAATGTTTTCCCGGACCCAAATGTTTTTCATTTCGCTTGAAGCTGCCATAAAAATAGTGGAATTAGCTTAGTGATCTGGAGGAAGTGTGGTTGGTTGTTTCAACTACAATAATTTTCTAAAAAATTGAACATTCAAGGTGTACACGCATTTTATTTTTTTTTTATATTTAGTTATTCACGCTGTACTGTGGCCGAAATAGAATTGAAATAGAACATATTATCTCGAAATTGTACACATTGTCTTAAAAGTATCAATATTTTTATTCAGCGATCACAATTATCGTACGTTTCAATGCGGTTTGCGAAAACCCTATATTATCAATTAAATTAAATCATTAATTTTTACGTGGCACACAAAAATGAGTAAAATTATATGTTTTCGGAATTCTGAAAGAGAATTAAATTTCCTTTCAAATGTATAATGTGTGTTTAGTGGTAAGGTGTTCGAAACAGTTGATACAAATAACATTATTTTGACATAATTAGTCATAGAACGTCAGATTTAACAATAATGAGTTGTTGCAATTCAGGTGTACGACCGGGGATATGCGGAGAAAACGAAACCTTTGCGAGAGGCTAGGCCGCGTGACGTCAGTAGCCAGACACAGAATCGTACTTACCTATATTCATATTAGAAATTTTCATCTCAAAATTAATTTTGATTTATTCGAGGCTTACCGACTAAAATTATTAGGCAAACACACAATAAAAAATTTCATTTTTGGCCCCTTGGTGTAACTTGCTTAGGCTTCTAAAAATCGACATTACTTTTTAACGAATATTGGCTTGATTCGTGATGTAAACTATAGAATGTTTTTCATTGAGAAAAGTTCTACGAGAACAACCAGCCATGTACATATAATCTCATAATCTATTTTTCTGAAGTGTATTTGGAAAAGATATATTTGAATTCAGGAGGGAGGCACAGTCACTTTATGGAATTTCATAGTTACTAAAAAACAAAACAATGTTTAGGATGGGCAAAAGGCAGGATCTAACAAACGTGTTTCCTAAATTATCCCAATCATAGTTTAAGTGAAAAGTTAACTACATTGCTACAGGATGTCCTAAAAATCTCAGTGTTCTGAATACATTTTTCTAATCTATATGTTAATATACCTGTGAATAATATAACATAGTATTCACGTTTTTTTTTTAATTAACAAACATCCAACTACAAATTTCCTTGGTTTATTATGGGCTGTTGTAGGTTCACTATAGCGCACGCAGTAGTTATTGCGCTATCAAATTTTTGAATTATTTCTGCTCCAATAATCGCGTGAGGACCTAACATCATAAAATCCCTAATACGCTTAATTACGCGTTCTATATGGATTCTCACACCAGCAATAAGTTTTGTCAAAATAACATTTTCTTTGGACATTTTGTCATCGTCAGCAACTCTTGGTGGTCTAACTATATCTCTAAGTACTTATTAAACAGAGATTCAAACCTCTGCGCTGTGATCTGGAAGACTGTCTAAAAATTGGATGTTTCTGTTTCTGGGGAACTTTCAGGATTTGCCTGTACATTTTCCAGTTTTAAACATACTTTTGGAGGGTTTGAAATCTGTTTTTCTGAGTTGTTTTTGCGAGACTTGAACGGACTTGTTTCTTAAATCTTTCTTTGTTTGGCATGCTTTGTTACATAACCGTGGTTGATCTACCTCGATTACTTCCACGCCTTCAGGTTCGGACTTTTCGGTTGAGGGCCCCGCAACCGGCACCGGCTGCAAATATTCCGCGATATCTTTCTGCCTTGCTCTTTTCACGCTGAACACTCGCTGTTTTGTAGAGATGAAGCGTCTGCCCGGTTGACATGCAAATTTATGTGGTACAACCTCAGGTTTCATGCGGGCTCGAACGGTACTCAACTTATATTCCAAGTAGTTTTCCATATCATTTTCCAGGTCGAAATGATCTTCGCAGCAGTACATAGTCGACTTGGAAGAAACTGATTTCACATCTCGCCGAGCTCTGTCAAACCACTGTTTACGTTGTTGAGGAGCTTTTGGAACACTCACGAAAATTTTTTTTGGTGTTGTATTTGTACAATTTGGAACAAAACACCACTTTCTGTTTGGCATTTTTAATTCCGATAAAGTTGACAGAATTTAATAATAAATCCGTAACCGCTCAAACTAGATACTCTAAACCGAACACCGATATGACAGACATTATTATGTGTAGGTATCGTAAAGCCTGCAGGCCAGCCAGGCGTCTGCTGTGTGTGACTACCGACGTCACGCGGCCGAGCCTCGCGCAAAGGTATCGTTTTCCAGCCTCGCGCCGATCCTTGACTTTTAAATGTTTACAATGGACGTAAATATCAATATTTTGCTCTCAAATTCATTTTTATCGTTTTTGAAGAACAAAATCCACCGATTTCAGTTAAAATAGAAAAATGTCGAACCTACCTATTAATCGAGATTTTATATTTATGGAATTTCACCTTTTTATTTCAGTTCTGTGATATGATTAAAGAATTTCCTGGGATAACATCCTATCCGTTTGTTGAGTCCCAATTAAATTCTTGCAGACATTTCGCTAAAACTTCATTTGGCGTTTTCCATCCTTATAAGCTTCGAAATAGTATGTTATGCAACAAGTGCGGTAAACGGCATTTGACCCACGAGTTCATTTGACACGAGCGGAGCGAGTATTTAATAAACGAGTGTATTAAAAAGTTTACGGAACGTGTTGCATACTATATTTTTTCTACGACCGTTAATTTTTGGTCAAATTTTCGCAACAGGAATACATTCACTGACATGACTATCAGAATTGACAAACGTCAAAATTCAAAGCGTGGTAAATATCTCCGAAAACATCCGATTGAAGTGGCGCTTATTCATGGGAAACGAAACTGACGTGGTAAAGTGACGCTTCCCGCACGATAGATCGGTAGGTAATTAGGTATTTTACAGACAGGAGTAGAAAAACAATTTTTTCTACTCCCTTCTGTAAAATACATAATTACCCATAGATCTAGCGTGCGGGAAGCATCACTTTACCATGTCAGTTTCGTTTACCATGATTCCGAATCACTTCGGACATTTCCGAGATTCTACCGCACGGATTTAGGAGCAATCGGATGTTTTCTTAGATATTTCCCACGCTTTGAATTTTGACGTTTGTCAATTCTAACGGTCATGTCAGTGAATGTATTCGTGTTGTACAATAAGTAAACAATTACTGTTAAACAAGATGGCGTTTCATAGCTAAGTAATCGAAATATGTAAAGATAATGTGCTTTTTAAGAATTATGGCGATTATTTCAAAAATCGCACTACTCAGATATAACTACCAAGGTATTTAGAACAAAGGTATTTATATTTCAGAATTATAAATAATAACGAGGGTGTTTGTTCCATTTGAAATAAATAAATTTGTTTTAGTACATCAAATATACAGGGATTTCGCAAACTGCAACTAGAATTTCTATAGGTTCAAATAAAAAACATAACAGATGATATACCAGGTATCCGAAAAGCATGCTAGCGGAAATGCCTTTAAATAATGAATAAAAGAACTGTTTAATGATAACTAACATGACACTCACCCCCCAAACCCGGTGAAATCAAAAATGGAATCCGTCATTTTTATTACAGATTCGAATTATGCCACAAAAGTGTTTTTGGCAGAAGTGTTTTTTTGAATTCGCGATATATGTAATCGCTAAAAGAAAAAGAATATCCAACTATGCAATAATCATTTATGTGTGACCATCAGAACTGCCGTCAATATTATACAGTGTTTTAAATCTAGCGAAAACATTTAATGACTTCTAACCCGTGGCTAAAGTAGCGGAAACGCTCGATTTGGCTTGCGAGAGAATTTAATGAAGCTGATGTATTAAAATGACAATTTGCGCACGCTTGATAAGTTTAAGATTGGGTGTTTTACAGTAGGGAGTAGAAAGAATATGTTAAAGAGAAGGTATCAGGTATTTCTTGACAAATAGGATAAATAGTTTTTTGAGGTTACAGCGCCATCTACCTAGAATCCAAAAAAAAACGTCCGACAAAACCATAGAATCCGAATCTGTAATTAAAAAGTGGGGTTTTCATTTAAAATTGCAAAGTTGCCTCCTCCCCATCACTAGTGGGGTGCGGTGGATGTTATGTTTGGTGTTATTGAACATTTTTTTATTGAATATTGATTAATTGTGTAATTCTAGAGACATTTTACCGTTTGCATACTTTTTGGACACCTGGTATTATTTAAACTATACCTATACTACCTACTACCGATGTACTACCGATTCTTACGCGAAACGTAGTGCACTAAATAACCATGTAGTTTAATAAAATACAAACAACTGTTCAGATCTGATCTGCTCACGAAATCTTTCAAAATATATTTCGTAGCACTAATTATTTTTGTAACGAGCACATTTCAAAATGTAATATTTACAGATATTTAAGATGTCACTTTAAAATTAATTCAATTCGAGCGTTTCAGGAATTTTAATCAACTTATGACTTCGGAGTGAATTTAAGGGCGGCTTGTTCTACAGCTGAAGGTATCGTCTGTTCATAGATATAAGAAAGCAACCAATTGCTTTTGAATGGGATTATCCAAGGGTGGTCATTAACATACAATTATTACCTAAAGTTTCGGAATTTAAATTCAGGTAAAATTGTGGTCCGTAATAGAAAATAATTTTATATCTGCCCGTGTTTCATATTCTTTGGTTTGGTGTACTACTTAGTTTAAGTTTATTAGTAATCATTCTTATTTCCTGTATAATACAGCATGTGTTGAATCGTGGGCGAATTATGCAAAATATGTGCGATTCTAGTGTACCTCAGGACATTCCATCGAGACTAAGGAAGTTATAAACAATGTTTATTTGACTCTCATTGAACGTGGTGCCAGCAAGCAAGCATCTTTAGAAGAAACGGCCACATTGACGAAAATTCCAACATCAACTGTATGGAAAATTGTGAATAATCCCATTTCAGCGAGGAAAAAAAGAAACGATGCTGACATTTTCTGGAGTGTAGATGAAAGTGATCAAGATATAATACGGTGCAAAATTTACCAGTTATATGAGGAACAAAGCGTGCCTACATTAGATATCTTAATTATGAGGCTTGAAAAAGATGAAACCGGTGTTAAATGTGGCTGAACTACCTTATGCAAGTGTATTCAACACATGGGTTTTAGATTTTAAAAAATTGACAAAAGGCAAGTTTTAATGGATTTTTTTAGAATTTACAGAGATTTACAGAGAACAACGAAGGCCATTTATTTACTTGGATGAAACCTGGTTCGACATTTGTGATACTCCAGAAAAGGGTTGGGTTGATTCAACTGATAAGTGTAAAACAAACGTGCCATCAAAAATCGGTAAAAGAATAACTATTTTGCATGCTGGCTCTAAAGATGGTTGGATTCCAAATGGACTTTCTCTGTCTGCGAAAAATATTAAAGATTCTTCTCAGGATTACCATAAAGACACCACCGCTGATTTATTTGAAAGTTGGTTTAAAAACAAACTAGTTCAAAAAATTGGTCCTAATAGCCTCATTGAAATGGACAATGCAAGTTATCGCAGTAGACAGTTGACTAAAACCCCTTCCTCATGTGACACAAAAGCATCAATCCAAAACTACATGTATAATAACGACATTTATTTTCACGAAGATTATACCAAAAAGCAATTAATTGAGATTCTACAAAGCTTGAACCTGCAAGAAGGAATACGTCTGTGATAATTATGCCAAAAATCTAGGGCATGCAGTTTTAAGGCTTCCACCTTACCACTGTATATTTAATCCCATTTAACATGTTTTGCACCCCCGGTTAACTCCAATGTCCTCAAACTTATAGAAACCGAAGTTTTTAACATCCCTCCACAAAGTTGGGCAAATTCTGTTAAACATATAGAAAAAGCAGAATAATCGTATAACCATATCGCAAATAATATAGAATTAGAACAGGCGATGATAGCGATACTGATACTGATATATTATGTGAATAATTTTATGTAATTTAAGTTGGTAATAAAAATAATTTGTAATTGTATTTTAGATTTGGATTTAAAGAAAAATACATACATAAATAAATAAATATTGTTTAGTATCTTTCCTAACAAAACTCCAAATAATGAAATTCTAAGCAAAGTACGGACCTGTTCGGCCATATTTCATTCTTACAACTTGCCCGGGTCTTTCCCTAATTAGTATCAGTTAGTTACTTTCTTATATCTATGAACACACTTTACCATTCTGTTCAGCACGTGTACTACAAGCCAGGGCCGTATTTAAGATGTTAGCCGATAAGAACTGTGCCGTGCGGACTGTTGTATTTTAAAAAGAATGGATTTTTCGCTGCAATGAAACTCTACACAAATCCGTCAGCTTTCAACATGTGTATGCCCGAAGTACCGAAGTATGGTTCTGGAACGTCATTGTGGAATTGCGAATCTTTTTATTGAAAATTTAACGAAGTTAAATAACGGATTATGTCGTAAAAACGGTATATAATTTGGAGAACTCCACACGCCTGTAGCCTTATGATTCTATCATGGTGTTTGAGCGTTTTAAATTGTGTAGATACAAGATAACAAAACCTTGAGTGTAAGAAAGTAAATGAGTTAACGAATTCGCATCGGTACCCACAAAAAATTGGATTTTAAATAAAAATACAATTGAAGGTTGTTTTTATTGAGCAACGTTAAGGATTAGCTAAACCAAATTGTGCCTTGGACAAACAGATAATACGCGTCCACTATTTTTCAGCATTAAAGTTACGGGGTCGTTCAGAAAGTGTATTAATCGTAATATTGCTTAAGACAAGTTGACTAACAGTATTCGATATTTATGAAACGTCATTAATTACAGAAAGTTCTGTTGGAACTTACTTATTTTCTGTATTAGATATATTTCTTCCAATGAATGTGCCTCAAAATACGAAGGTTTGTATTTTATTCGGCAGGTATTCTTGGTGCCAGACATATTGCTTCCGAGTCCATCCGCTCTACATTGTTCACAAGGACATTCTGCTATAAAAATTCACAAGAAATGCGTGAGTTATAATCTGCGAAAGTTCAAGGTGCTGAAATTTATTTCTCCCTTGCGCAAAATAGTACCAGCTTTGATGAAACCTACAACTATAATATACAAAACGAGATACCACGAGAAAACAAATAAATTGACAAAAATCAGAAGTAAAAATCAGATTTTAGTTAATCTGTCGGCTGTTTTTTTTCTGAGGGTGATACGAATTAAGAATTTTAATTCGGCATTAGGTAGGGCCTCTATATCTCTAGTAGCTATATGAAGAATCCACCAAAGAAGTAAAAGGCCAACAAAAATAAAACACAGGTCTTAATTTAATTAGGCAAATTTTTGAGGGATATGTCAGAATTTGTAAATGTGTAATTCAAAATGGCCAATCTGGACACCAAATTATTGAACTCCCGACATTCGATTTTTCATTACTATTATCAAAATTGTTATTGTTAAATATTAGTTATTTATTGTTTCCCGTACTTCTTCATCCTATAAATATTATAAACAAAACCAGAAAAAATACCTTGAACTTTTTAAATACAAATAAGTTAAAAACCTACAGAGTTAGACTGCCTTTCCATGAAAAAAAAATTTTTTTAGTTCCACCATGTTACAACCAGAACTGGACAGATAAAAAATGTGATTCGATTTATCTAAATAAATTAGCTTGTATATACGATATTTCGATTCGTAATGTCTTTTATTGACTTGTTTCCCAAAGAGTCTGACATGTTTCTCTGATATTCTGACTGAAGTTAGTTTCAGTCAAATTTAAATATCTACTTTTGTTGTTAGAAATGCATATTTTACAAAATCAAGCTGAACAAAAAGGTCCAAACAAAATTAAATCACGACAACGTCCGATCAAAGATGTGATTTTTTTATTTTATAATTGTCATATTTTATTTTATAAATGGCCGCTGAAAGGAGGCCGGTTATTGACGTTAACGGAGATGAAACATGAAAATGCCGGTCATTAGTGTTTTCCCAGTTATCATGTTTAACCGTAACATATTCATCAATTGACCACTAAAACGCTCTTTAATGTCAAGATTGCTCAATAAATTCTTATGCAAATCACTAATTGGTGTGGCTTTATCAAAAAATATTTTTGTGGCTATAAAAATGTAGAAGGTGATGTAGCTAAATGTGTTGTTTGTTTATGCTGCACAGCAATGTGCTCTAACTTTAAGTGCTGTTGAGGTGCACGATTTTGCAGAGGCAGATATTTCATTAGTGGAGACCACTTAAATAACGGACCGAGACCTTAAATCTACTACACGGGTGGTACGGAAACAATCTCTAACTGCAGGATCACAGGTATAAAAAAATATCATATGACGTAACACTTGCTCATAAATATTTTATTTTATGTGGGTCTCGTCCCTTTAATTTCAAATTTCTTTATTGTTTCGCCGCAAAAACCGACCCTGTGCTAATTTTTTCCTAGCCGTTAAGAACTGTTTTTATTTCAAGGTCATTTATGCGCGTTGGGTGGAAGCTTCGCAAAGACACTATATATTATATATATAGTATATAACAATTTTTTGTAGAATTTAATGGAGAATATAAAAAGTCTCATATTCTCGTCGAAGATCCGATACGCTGTAAAGCGTTGTGAGTGGGTAATTTTTGAGAATTACAGATATACAGATCCCCGTTTTTACTAAAATGATTTATATCAAAAAAAAAAAAAAATTCCACCTGAACTCATTTGACATCATTGGACAGGTAACTTACTATTCAGTAGGAACGCAAACATCAAATACTCGACTTCTTCAAGCATCCAAGGTTCTTTTGTCAAATTCTTTCTGAATTTGTTGCGCATTGTTTCAAAATCGATTGCTGCGGGCGGATAGGATAGTTCTCTAGCTGGGTTGTATTTGTAGTTTCCATACCTGGCGAGTTTGCTACAGGGAATGCGATCTTTCACGGTAGCTGGATTCTTGCATGGTACGAGCATTCTTAATCTAACGTGGCATTCTTCTTGATATAGTTTCTGTGGAAATTGTTTAAGTGAAAAAAAAATACACACACGTTTGACAAATTTCAATGGTTATGGCTAAAAGCAAGCAAGTAATTTTTACGAAATACAACCAGACTGGCTGACCAAGCGCAGAACTAAACAAGATTGATTTCGAAAAACCGTGGCAGTGCGAATCGTCTGTGCTGTACTATGCGGGACGCAGTTTACAAAGTCACTACGAAGCTCTTTATTTTAAATGCTTTTTGTCCTAGAGGAACGCAAAATCGATGTATTTTATTGTGGATACACTCTGTATAACGTGTCTTTCAAATCTCGCCGAACTTCGAAGATACGGCAAAGTTAAGTAAATAATAAAAATTTTACAAATAATAGCGATTTCCAATGATATTTTTTCAAATATTTCGCGAACCCCGTATAATAGATAAGACCAGAAACTCTCTCTCCATACGGTTTACGATACTGTTCAAATGAAATTATCCCATCTTTAACGGTTTTGCATTTATTGCCAATAATTTACTCACAAAAACGGAAATTTTTAACATTTGTGAAACCATGCAGTACGTCGTAATAGTAAATGACGTCATCGCGTCGAGATTGTCGAGATTTTATTTTTTCAAATATCTCGAAGAGTGTATATGATAGACGAAACCCGTAAATATAAAAATTAGCTCTTGATGCATTGTACAATACCATTTAAACCAGTTGGCCATATTTTTTGGGATTTTTTATTTACAGTTAATAATTTACTCTGAAAAAGAACAATTTTTAGGGTCTTTTAGATTGTTATATATAATTGAAAAACGCTGTACATAATCGAAAAAATGCTTGAAATAGAAATTATAATACCGAATCTTCTACGTCTCCTGGTAAAATAATTTTGCCGATCAAGTTAATAGTTTTCCAGAAATTTTGTTTTATCTGAAACAAAAAATAACAAAAACAAAAATTTCAAAAATTAAAAAATGTGGCACAGAATATCCCGACCACAATATGTGAAAATCTTAAATACAAAAGTTTTAGCAGTCCATACGGACTTTGTGGTCGAGTAATAGAAAATGGCAGCTGAAACACAGCCTTCTAGTTATGGTCAATTATCCATATAGGGGGAACCCAATTTTCAGTTTTTTTGCAATTTGCCGGCGCACCTTGTACAATTTTAAAAAATCATCAAAAATTTAAGTTTTTGATGCCGCTCTCGCGCATCTTTTGGTTCAAGAATTTTTTCGATGATTTATACCGTTTTTAAGAAATGATTTCTTTCTCGAGACTCTGCAAATCCGGTTTTTAAATTATTAAAAATACTTCCCGGTCCCCCAGCCTCCCCAATTTCAAAAAGTTCCGTCAGGGAACCTATTGTACCAATTTTGAAATCGATAACTGCAAATCTCGGATGCTCAGATGCCAATTCCCTATCCCGGCCATTTCCTATGTGCTTATGTGCCTCGTGGTAAGTTTAAAAGAAGAAAGATTTCAGCATCCTGACTCCAACGGTTCCGAAGTTATTCGCGTTACAGAGAACGGATAACGGAGAACGGGGAACGGACAAACAGACAAAAAATCTGATTCCGTCTGTACCAATGGCGACGCTGTACGACGCACCGTTTCCGAGATATGAGTTTCGTTGCCAAGCGCGTATACTTTCGAAAAATTCGATTTCAACGATTTTTCGAAAGCAACGAGGTCTCTTAATTATTCGAATCTATAAGTCCGTTCAATAAAAACTTTACTAAAAACATTGATGAATTTGTATTTGTTTTTTTTCTATTTCGTATTTGTTAAATGGACTTAATATCAGATTTTCTCTTTGTCGGGGATGTTAGTAATTGCTATTAATTCAATGATTTATTCATTACTTGATAAAATACAAAAATAATATGGAAAAATCACATATCGACAAGATGTCCGGGAAAATGTGGGAAACCTCTGGGATTCAGATACAATACAAAAAAATTAAATGATAAGCAGGGCCTTCCTGCATAGATATATATGCCTCCTAAAAGGCCCTGCTGGAAGTTGTTTATTATCATATTTCGATTTTTTAGTTGGGTATGATGAAAATATACAAAAACATATTTATGGATAGCTTTGGCCTTTCATTGCAAAAACAACTTCTATGTATTTTTTAAGTTTAATTAATTAATAATTAAAAAATTAAATTACCCAGTTTTTTCTAATCTTTGTACGCTGTTTTAATAAGTAATAAATTGAAATGTTTTTCAGCAAAAAAAAGCAATTTTCAGCCGAGTACTTTAGGGAGGAAAAAATATGTTAAGCTGTGATGTTCTTTTTCTGTGTTTCACTCTCAGACAATTTCGAGATTTTCCAGGACACCCGGTATTATTTAGGTATTCGCGAAAATGAAGCAGATAGTGTAATAAAATATTATGATACCATTTCCATGTATTTTTGTCCAATGCATGAAATTGTCATACTATTTTGCCATGTAAATAAATGAGGCTACCAATAAATTTATTCTTTAGACAGCTTCGCTAACCAAATTGAGGCAGATTTTGTAAATTTATGATGGTTTTCTCAAAGTGAAACCATTCTATAAAGCAAAAAATATCCTTATACTAAAAACTAATGACTAAAAAAGAAACTATATCCACCTGGTTTCCACATATCAGATATTAATGAATTTATTAATTCTCTATATGTAGCATTTTTTATTGTCCGTAAATTTTAAGAGCATCTCTGGAGTATAAGAAATGTTGACTTTGATCAGCCCTGTCTCGCATCTTGGTGTTAATAATTTTTTTGTTTTTATTTTTGTTATTATTTATTTTTCAATATAAATTATCTTTGAATTTGGTCCTTGTTATTTTATAATTTTAATAATATATAGTAAGTACTATAAAATTTAGATCTCCCGCTTTAACTCCTAAGTTATGTTACAATAACTTCCCAGCAACATTTTTGGGTTTGTCACTGCTGTTTCACAAAATCGTCACAATTTTGTTAATTTTGATTGTGAAATTCAAGAGAAACTTTGAATTTGTACAAAGAATCTACAGATGGGTGTACTTTTTTGATTATGCAAGCTCGCTAGCAGTTCCATCCAATCAAGTTTCTTTATCGACATTTTGATCATCTACATCGTTGTCTGGTCAAATTAACAAGAAACCATTACTGCGTTGGGAATGAATATTCGTAATTCGCCTAAAGCGGTTTAATTGCTAAAATTATTTTTGACATGACGAATGTCAATTGGTGAAAATGTTAATTTCTAGGACAGAATGGCAATTTAAAATGTTACCATGTTGGCTTTTTGATATTGGTTCACAGCGGTGGTCCACGTAGAGTCTGCATTGTACGTAACATTCCTTAAAGAATTCTCTAAGTTTTCATCGGGACACATGATATAATTTTGGCCACGTCATTGCCCAACACTTACGTAGGTGCGCCTAAACTTCAAACTTACAAATACTCCGAAGACTTTCTTTAGAAAACTTGTAGGTTGTTAACAATAAAAATGTTTGGAAAGAATGAAAAAAATAAATAAAACCCATTATAAATTGCAATCAGCGATATTAAGCTTTTCAGTTGAAATAATTTTCAAAAAAAGGGTCTTTTTAGAAGTACCTATCTAGTAATAAAGTAACACACAATTTTTCAAGTACTCCCCTCTGTTTGAAATGTCGGAATTGACAAAAAAAAATGTAAAATAACATTTTGCCATCGCCACTGGCGAACAATTGATATTGAAACTTTTTCCTTCTTTAATAGTATATTATGCAACATGTGCAGTAAACGGCTTTTGACTCACGAGTTTATTTGAAACGAGCGGAGCGAGTTTTTAATAAACGAGTGAGTTAAAAAGTTTACCGAACGTTTTGCATACCATACTTTTTCTATGACCGTTAGTTTTTGGGTACATTTTCGCAAAACAATACGAATATATTCACTGACATGACCGTCAGAATTGACAAACGTTAAAATTCAAAGCGCGGGAAATATCTCCGAAAACATCCGATCGCTCCCAAACTCGTGCGGTAAAATCCCGGAAATGTCCGAAGTGGTGGATTCATGGGAAACGAAACTGACGTGGTAAAGTATTTTACAGACGGGAGAAGAAAAACTTTGCACAAACTAGACACAACATTTATTTGGAATATACAATAATACTTTGCATATACTTAGTTGGCATCATACGACATTTCTTGCAATTTCATTGAACTATTTATTTAAAACATCACTTTCGATAAGTAATAGTGCATAGATATTGCAATTTCTTATGAATAAAGACATATTTGTTGTTTGTTGAATTTTGGTTGTGCTGCTTTTTGAAGCATAAAGATAAATAGAAATGAATATAAATTTACCGCCAGAGTAAAACAATTCTCAATTCTTATTTTTTTGTTTTAACCAATTCAATAGTCAATCCTAGAAGCGTTTCATTTTTCAAATAGAAAGAAAAATCAGAAAAGTAGTAAATCCTTAACACCTTCATGTCCTAACTTTACCCCAATGGATACTTTGTTGGTTTTTGTTAAATTTTTGATTTCCTAAAGTTTGTTTTTTTCAAAAAAAAAGGTGGTGCTGTAGTCCCAGTCGTTTGTAAAGAGATTCCAGATTTGACAGAAATGTTTTTACCTGCTATAATAATATATTATTGAAGGATTTTAAGTATTTAGTTATCTCACCAATGTGTTAAATAAAAGTCAGGGATGTAAAAGATTTTTTACAATAGTTGGTTTTCTTTTTTTTATTGTTATTGTTTGTTTATTGTTATTGTAATTGGGATTAAATTGATTTAAAGTCACTTACTGTTTCAATGCCTTATAGCTTGAATAAACCAAAACCCAAAAGTAAAGTGCTACGTCATCTCTAGATAACCATTAACCACCGCAACGGGCGCAATACCGTGTGGCAAAAGAAATTATTTCTTATTTCTGTTCTGTGACTTCTGTGATCTTAGTTCGAATCAGCTGATAGCTAAATATTTTAGGGTGCTGTATATAAATTGCCTGTTTAGTTAATTTTTTAGATTCAGTGTTTTATAGTTTATTTTTTCATTTTCAAGATGTTATGATGTTATCTGGTATAAAGGAAAAAATCCTCAATGTGAAGAAAAATGTAAACTTACTGGGCAACGACTATAAATATACAACATCCAATGAAAAATTAGTATCAAATTCAAACGCTGGAGCTCCCATTTTAACCTGTTTTCAAAAACATTGGGAAGATATCCATAATTTAAACGAAAGTAATGCAAAACAAGCTGAAAAGCTGGCTACTGAGATAGAGTTAATTTCAAAAACTGTTAGATCTGATAAGCAAAACATGGAAATCATAAAACATAATCTAATTACGTCAAAACTAACTCACAACATTGGATACTGCCTAAATCAAATTAAAGACATCCACGACATCTGCGAAAAAATTGAGGAGAAGCTTGTTAATTTAGAAATTGTAATAGATGAAGTTGATTTTGAAAAAATGAAAGAGCGACATCGATATCATTTAAATAATTATAAGGAACGGAAGGAAGGTAATTGTTTTATTAAATCACAGGACCTAACAACAAAATATATATATATATATATATATATATATATATATATATATATATATATATATATATATATATATATATATATATATATATATATATATATATATATATATATATATATATATTTATTTATTTATTTCAATCCTTTTTTCCAGAGAGGCTTGTTAACTTGAAATTAATGTCCGAGAAGGAGTATCATAGAGAAGTTGAACAGGTTGAGACTAGTAAAAAATTATTACTAGAGGAAAGGCAAAAAGTTTTTCAGGAAGCTTTTAAAAATGACTTAGAGTTATATAAAAGCCTAGGATCAATTCCAAGTTAGTACAGTTAATTTATTCCTTTTCTGTCAATACCTGCATAAAATCCAAAATCACAACTCACTCTTTCTAGAATTAGATTTGCCAAGAAATGGTGCCCTTCTAGAAGAAATTGACTTAGATTATGACGAAACGGAATTGGATCAGTTTTTTAATGAGGGTGCTTAAGTGTTATGTTTATATATAAATGTGTGAATATATATTTTCATATTTTGGAAGTAATATAGTTTTTTAAATTGATATGTTTATCGTTTTAATAAGTTTGATACTTGGATATTATTTTATTCTGGGTACTGTAATATAAAGTTTAATTGACAAGGCTAATGTTTTTTTTGTATAAAAAGTGCCCAAATAACAAGGTTTTATTCAACTGTATCAGGACAAATGAAATGGACTATAGATTTTCATAAAAAAAAGTAGTTATAGCGAAGTTGAGAAACAATATTCATATCAAATTACTGAATATAACTACCTCATCAAGGTAACAGTTTGAAGAATTGAAAATTAATACTTATACATTTTCTATGTGATCACCATATTAAGCAATCTTCCCAGTTGATTAAATTTTAATACATAATTTTACACACATAAAGTTTTTATTTTAGTCTGCAAAGGACTCTCTCTAACCAATTCGGATTTTTCCTGTTTTTGGTTTAATTAAATCAAAACTGCGCTTTTATATTTTTCGTTTTGGAGATATATCCTTTTAAGGGTGATATATAAATTGGTTATTTTGCAAATTATTCAACAAAAAAATACGTTTTTAAAAAATTTTATTTTTAATAAAACATGATGTGATATAATTATGTACAACTTAAGTGAATATGTGAGATCTAACAAAAATATCACCAAACATGGGGCTTAATTTACAAAAATAAACATTTTCGAGATGGTTTTTTATGAATACTAGTGATACCTCGTTTAATGAAAACAAGTTTTTTTAAGTCTTTTATTTTTTAAAGAAAAGTGTACTCTAGGATCGCGAACACAAATTAACCTAGATGGCACATTTTAACGGATGCCTATAGTTTTTTCTTATCTTATAAAAGTTAAATACAAATGATTTAGAATACACCATGAAATTGTCTTAATTCAAATAACTGAAACATTTGGACATTTACAATGTCATGAGTTCAAATAAATTACATATTTCCAAATAAAGTGACTTTTTTTTAATAGCCTAATTTTTTTTAACTTAAAATTTTACCGATAGATACTTCAAAATACAACAATTAATTCTATTAAAAATAATAAAATAAATAAATATTGACATACTTTGCTTAACTTTGAAAGGATGTTAATCAAACCCTTAATTTATACTGTAGCTCTTACCTATCCATAATGAGGGCTATAAGAAGGCATACATCAATCAATATTGCAGTGTTAATTACAGGTTTTGATGTAGGTGGGGCGTCAATTGTTTCAGAGGCGATTTCTGCTTGGTATTTTACAATTTCATTAATTGTCTCTATATTACTAGAATAATTTATTTTTAAGAGTTTTTAGATTTACGTTCATAACAAACTATACGCTGAATTTGTCGCTTCGATGACGCAGCCTCAATTGCGAGATCTATGTTGACAATTCTGCGGTTTGTCTCCTTTCCTTTTAGCCCTCCGCACTCGTACCAAATCATTAACAGGGTACACCAATACTGAGGTATGTGTAACATGAAGTTTATTACTGCTTATCATTAAAAAACCTTTTTTTTTACCAAATCTGAAGCTCAGTAATATTAATTATGGAATGACAAACTTTACCAAATGCAAGTAAGTAAATATCAATTCTATTATGCCTAGAGTATTCGTCCACCCTGTATATTAAAAATTCATATAGACCCTGCCAGTTTTTCAAAAATTTGAACTCCCTTCTTCTATTGCCTTTTTCTTAAAAGTGTTGCTCAAAGAAGTCAGAGCCTATTAAACGCGACTTAAATTGGGTTTAAGGTGCTTTAAAAGCATTAATCATAAAGTTAAATTAAATCTTAATAAAACACACTCCAAATAATAATAAAAAACAAATTTCTTTCCAGAAAAGTACAGAAATGCAAAAAGTGGCAAAAAACTACAAATTTGGAGAAATAACAAGAACAGAAAATGGACGTCTGGTATCGTTTCCATAGGTTCTCACTTGTTTGTAAGAGAAAGAAAATTGCAAACCTGTATATCGCTAGTTTTTCATTACACACAGATAAAGCGAATACAATACTTTTAAAACGCTGACGTCCCTCTAGCCTGTAAATATTTCCATTTAAAACTAAAAGGACATGGTGAAAATTAAGAGGAATCAGATAGGTAGACATTTCAATGAACTTGGCACAAAAAAACTGTAGGCAGAACACCACAACAAGATCCTGCCAAGTTATTTGAAAGACTATGCCTAACAAGCAAATGCTTAATACATGTAGAAAATCTATTTTCCAAGATATCGCCACAAATCTTGAAAAACTATTCACAAGCTGAAATGTATTAATTTTTAATTAAAGTTTGTTAAATAGAATTTGCTTACTAATCAAACTGACTTGCAACAAAGATATAAATAAATATACAAATATTTCAGAGAAAAACCGAATCACATTTGCAAACACACAATACAGAAAAACTTACAAGACTTGGTAGCCATTTTCAAAATTAAACATTTTGATAATAGCTGATAATTATTCAAAGACTCCAAAATAAGGATGTGAACCAACCAATCAAACCAATCATGCAAACAATACAACATGTATAAATAATGTAAACCTAGGATATTAAGCGTATTTTTTTGACTTTTATATCATTTTATGATTTTTATTATCCTTTTCTTTTTCCCAATTTTTAAAAAATGACCTTTATTAAGAGAACAGGGACAAGGGAGTTATTTATTTTCAGTATGCCAGCTCTACCGGCTGCCAGTACCTATTCACCAATATTAAATAAGTAGAAGACAGCATATGTCACGCCTGCCGCAACTGCTGGTTTTTTATAGGCCTTCCATCACCATACATACTTAAAGAAGCTATATAATGGTTTGGCATTACCTAGAACAAATAAATAATACAGTTACTAAAAATTAAGAAAACTGATGCCAATTTATGTTTAGAAATATTGTGTACTTTTGAAAAAGTTGATGTTAACCCCATAAATCCTGTAAGGGTACATTATGGGGAATATCAGCATTTCTTCAAGGCGCTAAGAGATGACAAGGAATGCTTTTTTCGGTACACCAGAATGGAAAAGTTCAACATCTTCTGGTACAAACTTGGAAAATAGGTTAATATTCAACAAATTACACTGCAAAAAGCGAGGAGAAGTCTGGGGTTACTGGTACAGGGGTAGTTTTTGGATCAAGATTATTGTATAAAAAATAACAACAGTGAAGAAGTTACAAGTTAAAAAAATAAATCAACTGCTACTAGGTACCTCAAAAATTATATCCTGATAACCATAACACAAAGTACTCCCAAAAGGATTGGTTGTATTTGTTGAACTGGCCCTATTTAACACCACCGGCCTTTCACTTGGTGTTAACTTCTTACACACGTCACTCCAATCTGAATAGGCAGTCACGGTGGCGCTATCTAATGGTAACTCAAACTCACACCGCATGTACATGTTGAAGTTGTAGTGTCCTGGGTAATTTGTATGCAAGACAAATTTTTTTGCTAAGTGGGATCGAGCATCAAACAAAACATCCTGAAAAGAATAGAATTATTTTTTAATTCATTTTGGTTCTTTGTGAAATCATTTAACAAATAAAAACCCGGCACTGCAAATAATGATTAGCCTATATTATTAAAGAGTTGAAGAAAAAATACTTACATAAATATAGTTACATTTTTTTTAATAATCACTATAATATAAGCTCCAATGGCTCTTTTAGTATCACTACCACCAAAAGAGTGTTAAAAACAAAAGAATATAGCTACACTGAATTATATTTTAAACACAGTACAATATAAAATAAAAAATATAAATAAGGAGTTTGATAACTTACAAAGCCCAATGTGAAGTAATTGAAAAAATAGTCACTTCTATTAGTGGTCACTCTACGATGCGCATTCGGAGCGTGTATACGCATTTTGTCTTCACTTTTGTAAAACACCTTGGAAGGCGCTCCTAGTGCAGACACTACATCTTGCACAGACTGACCAAGTAATACTTTTCGCTCAAACTGTAATTTTGTTGAATCTATGAGCCGATTGTTAGTACCCGCCATAATTTTTAAGCACAAGCCTTTCGTATATCCATCTCCCCTTAATACTTCGGCTTTTTGTAGGTACAATTGACCATGGTAACAAGATAGAGGTAATTCCGGTGATGTCGCTTGATCTACACTTGAACCAGAGTAAATCGCCATTCTCGAGACTACCTAAGAAAAATTATTACTTTTGCAAAATTACACAGCACTGCAAAACCATTATTCTCAAATTTTTATTAGTTATAATGCATTTACCGGGCTGCTTCCTGGAGGAAACTGAAGAGAAGCTAAATTATGTGTGCTTCCTTTCTGATACTTGGATTCTACTGGAAAATAGAATGACAAGCCACGGAAATTTAATGTAAATACTTGTTTTTCAGAGTCATACTCTCCCGGATGGGTTGCACCAAAAGAGTGTTCAATTTGTTCTATAGAAGGTAATAGTTCTGGTGAATTGAAGGTCAACCCACTAAAAAACAACATGCAATTTTCAATTAAATAATTATTATACTGGTTTCAAGTATTTGGGTTTTGTTTGGTTTTTTTAAGAAACCCAAATATATTATAGAAAAGTGTTACCAGTTATCAATTAATCAATTATTGCCGACAATTTGGAAATTAAAAACTGACGCTCATATGCTGCGATATTCCTTGAAACTTACCAATACTTCAGCTTAATTAGTTTCATATTGAAAATTAGAATAATTTTCAATCTCTGAGTAACGGGATCAAAAAACAGCCTAATACCATCTTGCGGTAAATTTATGACCATATCAATTTCTAAAGGCTTCTAAAAAGTTAATGGTTAATCACTAACAACTATCCAACCCTTAGGATAATGATTTACTTACAGTATCATTGTATAACACTTGAACTCCCTTAATAATGCCAATTTGTCCCTGAATAATTGCAACGGCTTGGGAAAAATGCATTCCTGGAATTTGATAACACACCTTATAAATCACAGGGTCCTTAAAAAAAGGGTTTCTACTTTAGTACTTCATTGAAGGGCAATAAACAGAATTCTATAAAGCATATTAGTTCTTAGCATTCATTTATGTATTTAGTGGTGCTTTAACGTTTAGGCTTAGTCAGATAGATCAGGTTCATAATTATTTTATGTAGTGGGTGTGCCAATTCACAGAAGAATCTACTAAAAAATAGAGGTACTATAGTTGACAATAGGAATATGACAACTACTACTCTTCTTCGTGGTTTCATATACTCAAGAAAATATATTTAAGCTAAAAGTTTAGTAAAAAAAGTGTAATATCTAATGTTGCAGGCAATAAATTGGTTGATAAAATTACCTTTCATTTATAAAATAACAGACTCTAATCAAAGACAAATTTAGTCAATTATTTAGCTGTACTTTTGATTTGGCAGCACACGTTTCAATAAATAATCCCATAATTATCACAAAAAAATAGGTAAAAGAACAAAAACTCTGGAACTGTCTCTACCTGTGTTATTTACATTGTTTTGCAAAATTTTTCAACTAAAACTTTAAATAATACAAATAGTTTATTGTGATGAAAATATTTGATAATTATCTGCTACATATCAAGATTCATGCCACTTTAACATCAAAACATAAAACATGTTTGAAGATATGCGTTTAAATAAAAATAATTAAAAACTCCATAGTATATAAAAATTCACACAAAAACAGCCCAAAAAAAACCTATGCAGACTACTGCCCTTTCTCAAACAAACATTTTAATTTCTTTAATGTATACCAAAGTAAAAATGAAAGTTAGACCACAAAAATTAATTGTCTCAGCTAAAAATACCACCAAAATAATAATACAATTATCCCACCAGTTTGACATTAGGCTACGCAATTTTATTAAAGGTCAGTGAACACATAGCGATTTACACGATTGTCATAACATCTAATACGGACACTCGCAATTGTTTATTTACCAGTGCAAATAAATAAATAAAACGCATTTCATGAAAAGGAGTTAGAACCCACCTAAAATAAACTCCCATTGTTCACAGCCTAACGAACGTTCTGGTACAACTTCAAGTGTTAGCATTTTCTTGTAAACACAAAACTTAATTAATTCACGCTACTGACAATGGCAATCACTGCCGCTTTAATTGTAAATTACTATTAAATTAAGGCAATCCTTTGTCTACTCTCTAGTATTTCGCCATTTTGAATTGAACTGTCAAAGTAAACAGCTGATTGGATACTTGCTATGCAAAAATGAACCTAAAAACCACATCACGTAGTGTTAAAAATTGCTCAAATGTCTATCGATTGTTATTTAATTCAAAACAAGAAAGAAATTCGTGGACGCGCAGAAGCGCAATCACTGTGATTGGTCAAGTTCAAGTAAACAAGAGACTCGAAAGCAAAAGTTTAAAATGGAATGTAAAGAAATTACGCCATCAAGCACCTGTTGTTTTTTTTTATCAGTTTACCTACATCATGTTTTTATTTTTTAACACAAAAATTATTAACCACGTTTCATAAAGTTCTAGAGTGTCCAAGTAAGTAATAATTTTCTAAAATATATAATTCATTCATAATGCTCTTTTCAACTTTTCAATAGGGAAGCAAGTAGAAATTTTCAGGAAAATAAAATCACCAGCAGATCTTTCTTATTTTGGTTATATTTGGTCAGTAAACAATATATAATAAATGCCTCTAAAACGAGACTAAGGAAAATGCATAAAATATATGCATCAACTAATGGGATGCTTCTGGAGGTGGGGCCATACAATTACCAGTAGGATAGCGTTTTTTAAAACTCTCAATTAAAACAGGATCTATAAGACGAATACCGTCCACCTGGTTTCCCAAAGTTATCCAATTGGGCTGAATATTGTGCGGTCTGCCAAAAAGCTCTATTTTCTTTGTTCCTGGTGATAATCTATATCACATAACATCACTTTTACTTTGTAGCAGAATAAATTGAAATCAGGCTAGACCTTTACCTTTCTATCATGCCATAGATTTCATCAGGTTTATGACTAGTGGCCCTTACTTCAGCAACAATTACATCTGAATCTAAACCACGATTTAAATTCTTGGGATTTCCCTTCATACCTACTAAGCAATGTTCTTTGCCATGATTCAGCCAATGACCTGTTCTTCCTAAAAATCAAAACACAAACATAATCTTGAATAAATGTGAGTTTAGTAATATTAATTACCTGTTCTTATAATTCTTTGTAACTGATTTGTTTTGACCCAAATAATCTCATCAACCCTTTCATATCCCCACAAATTAAGGCATTCTCTTCCTAACTCCATCGCTCTGCCAGTGACCCACAAAAAAATTAAACCATCGTCTTGCAGTTGAGGTATCCCTAATTGTCTCATTTCATCATCGGACATAGTGCCATAGGGAAGTTCCATGTGAATGTCCCAAGGAGGATCAGCCATTATAACTGCATATTTACCTAGTTGAAAACAACTGGTAAAAACACAAAACTCAAGGAATTATATATGAAAATTGAATTAATTAATGTACACTTGTGGTGTAATATTATAATTATATATTATTAATGAACCATTAAAGATTTTAAAATAAATTTTTCAGCCTTGCAAATATCGATTTTTTACAGATTTTTTTTTTATATCTTTACATTAGTCTCACAATTTTAAATTCAGTAAATTACCTAACACTGTCATATCCAAATATCTCAAGTCACACTGAACCCACTGGGGAGGATACAAGGTGCTACTTTCAACTCTACCTACTGGTGAGCATGGTAGTGCAGGAGCATTTTCTTCTTTTTGTCCATTTCGATCAACTTCATAATGAACATATTTACAAGTATCCATATGAAAGCAAGTATTCAAAAATGAACAGTCACCTAATGACTCATCAGTGTGCTTTTGTAAAATCTTTTTAAAGTGTAGTTTTTTGCAATCTGTTATGCCATTTTTCTCACAGTCTAGTTTTGTCCCATGGGGACAAAATTCCATCAGTAATTTGCCCCCTTGTGATTTAAACCGTTCAGTAAGAGACCGTTCCTTTGCTGTTGGTTTGCTTAATAAATCAAGAATTTCTTCTCCAAGTTTTTTTGTTTCTTTTTCTTTTGTAGAAGGCATGGACAGAAGAGACTGAAATAAATACAAAGTAAATAAAGTATGAATTCTAGTAATAATTATTATAATATAAAAATCATCAAAAATTTCACTTTGGCAAATGTAGGTCAACTTTTTATATTAACTAAATCTATTAGAAAAGCTTATGTTATATTTATGGGCAACAAATAGTCCAACCTACCAATATGTCTGCTTTAGGTTCCTTTTTTTCTTTTTTCCTTTTCTCTTCATCAGTTTCTTCGGAAATACAGGATGTTTCATGTCCTCTTTTACAGCTATCTTTTGAACTTCCAGGTTTAGATTCCTCGAAAAATTCTGCAATCATTGCATTTACTTTAGTAACCTCAACATGGGTAATGTCTAAAATATTAATTCCTTCTCTTATTATCTCATTCACTGTAACCAGTTTCTGAATTGCAAACTTTTGTAATAAACTAAAAACTTGTTTATGTGGTACATCTGTTTTCAAAGTTGCTTTTAATAGAGTTAATAAGTCAGTTGAAGAGGTAGGTAACTGCAGCGTTACTTGGCTAAGTTCCTTTAAAAGCTCTTTCTCCAATTGGGGGTCAATCTTAACTAAATCCTTGCTTTCTAAAGGTTGTTCGCCCTTAGTTTTGATATCTTCTTTTGGAATTGTGGGTAAGGCACTTTGCGAATTAGTAGATTCCACAGCAGTTATGGATGAAGTTGTATTTAAACTGGAACCTAAAATATCTTGGCGCTCTTTTTTGCGTTTTTCTAGCCTTTCTCGAAGAATATTTCTTTTTCTTTGAACCGCTTGGATTTCTTCCCAGGCATCTGACATGTTTCTACAATTAATTAAAAGAATAATAAAAAAAGGTAAAGAATGTTATATTTCTTGCTATAAAAGTAAATAATTTTAAAGTTTGGTTAAGTTCGGTTAAGATTCTTCTTTTCCTCTTATTCTTCCTTTATAATTTAGGGCTTTCTCACAAACTGATAAATGAAACTCCCATTTAAGCAATCATTTGTTTATGTAATAATAATACTAAAATTTCCCTTTCTCAAATCTCTATAGAATAGTATCTATTTTACAAAAAACTTTTTGTTATCTATAATGAAAACTCGTTCGTTATTACTTGTTGGACAAAGTAATCTTATTACAAACGAAGGGATTATCCAAGATCGCTGTATAATGTTTTTTGCTTTACAATACACAAACAAATAATCATTTGAAACAATTTTAGAATTTTCTCAGCAGTTTAAACTTAAAAGGTACTAAGAATGAAACATTGCATTTTAATTGGAGTTTTACCTCCCCTTTATCCCAGCAAAATGAACTATCGTGTTTACACACATTAGGCGCACCAACGATAAGTAAGTCGGAACTAAGTTATATATGATGGACGGCTGGCCTAGGTAATTTGGCTAATTCTAGGCTATGTTCATGGTTGTTTTGCAAGGTGACATTTAGAACTGTTTTTCAAATAATGACTTTTAACAACAAAAATATGCAAACGAATGATTTACTATATTATTTAACGATGAATATGAATAACATATGTAGAGTATGTTTAGAAAAAAGTAGCAAATTAGTTGCTATATTTGATCCAATTAAACCTCCACATTTCTCTGTTTTAATTATGGCGTGTGCCTCAGTTCAGGTTGCTAACAATTTTATTGTGCTAGTTGGTTTATGATTGTAATTAATTTGTAGGTAACAGAAGGGGACGGTCTGCCGCCATATATATGTCAAAAATGTATTTCGAAGTTAAACATAGCCTTTCAATTCAAAACACAGTGTGAATCATCTGACGAAAAATTACGACAATGTTTTGAAAGTTTCACTGTAACCCAAGCCACTGACTTACCGGGATTTATTAATATTAAAAAAAATGTTGATAATAGCACTTCATATTATACAGTAGCAGACGATTGTAATAAAAGTGACAACGAAAATTTAATAAAACATGAACAAGGGGATGTAAAATGCATGCAGGAAACAAACATTCAAGAATCTTTTCAGACAGAAAGACAGTTGATTCAATCAACTCATGATACGCAAGAAACAGATAAGACTAGAGTTACAAATTTAAAGGTTGAAGGGGAGAGTGTTATGAAGGTAAGATATTTACAAAGATTATAGGGTTGGGCACTAAATCTAGGTTTTGTTCTTTAATAATATATATATTTTTTGTAATTAGTTTAAATAAATAGTATTCTAAGTTAGTACAGATCTAGATCTGTTACATCATGTGCTTAATTTTATAGAGTTTATTGTTTTTTCAGATAGAGGACATTAATGTTCTAAATGTAACTGACATAATAGAATCCCATACTAGTAATAATAGAAAAAGTAAAAAAAATTCTAAGCCCCATCAATGTGACACTTGTGGAAAAATATTTCGACTTAAACCAAGTTTAGTCCATCATATACGTATTCATACTGGCGAAAGACCATATGTTTGTCATTTGTGTGAAAAAAGGTTTGTAGAAATTATAAAATTTTTTGAAATGAAATCATCAAATTGTTTTCCATATGATAATAGGTATTCTATATGTTCAGATAGTAGTTGGTTAATTTTGGGATTTGATTTTAATTCAATTCTTAATAGTAATAAGTATCAACACTGCAGAAGGAATACAGCAAATATTTTTTCTTGACAAAATAAATAAACTTGAAATGGAAAGATTTAACTGGAATATCTATAATTTTCTAATATAGATTCATTAATGGAGGTCACCTTCACACTCACATGAGAATACATACTGGGGAAAAGAATCATATTTGTGTTGCCTGTAACAAAGCTTTTGCAACTGCACAACAGCTAACAAAGCATACTATTGCAATTCATACTTCAGAGAGGCCCTATGGTTGCACCTATTGTTCAAAGAGGTAAGAATTATTTAAGGTAATTTTACATTGTCTCCTTGTACCCATGTACCAATCTATTCTTTAGTAAGCATGAAAAAATAATATACACACACAACACTGAAACCAATTATTTCAGCATCACTATTGCATCAATTTAATTAAATAGATCATTTTTTTTTACAGATTTGCTAGTTCCAGTAACCTCAATACCCACATCAAAATACATACAGGAGAAAAGAACTACCACTGTGAACACTGTGGTAAAGCATTTTCAACTAAAGGGCAACTATATCAGCATATGCTTGTGCACACAGGAGAAAAAGCATTTCTATGTGAATACTGCAATAAAAGATTTTCCCAAAAAGCTCACCTTCTTAGGCATTTAAAGACACATAACAGAACATCATAGCAAGAGATGAGAATAGCGGTTTAAATGGTGACTAAATACCTCATGTGACTTGGAATATAGCATGTAGAAGATTGGGAAGAAAGAATTCAATTGATCTCTCAATACAAACTAACATTATCATCTCGGCAGCAAATTTATTAAGTATAAGGTGATGTGCCCGAATAAAAGGCCTGAAAAAGAAAAACATAAATTTTTCAATTCCTGTCTGCAGTGATGATAGAAGATATACATAGTGGTAACATGTGTTCACTTATTTTACCAGTTGTATAATATAATTTAGATAATAATCTCTGGTATTGTAAGTCAGTTACTGTAAATAAATACATCTATTTCATAAAAGATGAAACACAATTTTCATTTATTTCATTGATGATATAGTATAAGACCCCATAAAGTGAATTAATTACGTCTGGAGAACATTTTTTTTACAATGTACTATATAATTCAATTCTGATCTGTTTGTAGTTAATTTATGGTCTTAAGATTTCCTTACGTTAATTTTGTCTTTTCATATATTGTTCCATATTTGTTTAGTGTTGGTGACTATAAGTTAGAATGTAAAATTGGTGAAAACCAACAAAATATGACCCAGCAGAAATTGCTTTTATTTTGATTAAAAAAGTGCTCTGAAGCGATATTAATTGTACATTATAATCTGTAATAATAGAATCCCATTATTATCTTTGATTATTATTATCTACATTTGTGTATACAATTTTTAGAAAACTATCTAAAATATTACTCAAAATAAAAGGTACATCAAATTTCACTCCCACCATTCCAATAGCGAAAAACATAACAAATATATACATGGCCCAAAAAATTTCAATGCAGGTTTAATAACTCCTCTTTTTTTATCCTGTTTCAATTGGTGTTAAGTTATATAAATTTTTAATTTACTCTGATTTAACTCGAGCAGTGATTTATATTACAGAATAGTACAACTCATATCAAACGCATATTTTGCAGACCCCCATGCTTACGGGAAATAATTATTATACACAGGGTGTTTTCTGAGTCCCAATAATTAAGTTGGTAATTTTTGGGTCCATTTTAAAAAGAAAATTTCATATGAACATATGTCCTAAACGTCTTAACGTTTGAGACACAGGGTGGTAAAATTTCCAAGAATAAAATATATTTTTTTAATATCTGTAATAGCCCTTTAGATATTTTAATGGAATTTGGCACACATGCATTTTTTTTAAAGTACACCAGTGGCGGGCGTACGGCAGACCACTGATTTCTCTTAAAATAAAAATTATTTTTACAATCTCCATTTCTTAAAAAAAAAAAATTAATTAATTTTTTTTTCAATCGGATGTACGGTTTTCCGTGCGAACGACTAAAAAAAAATTATGAGATTAAATCTGCTGATAAATGAATGCAAATGTCATTATTTTTCTCAAGGAAATCAGTGGCGTGCCACTGCACTGATTAATTTCAGAACTTTTTATGTGAAAAACAAAATATCTATCTCAAACAAAATATCTAGTTTTTAGTTACCAACTAGTCCAAAAAAAATAGAAGACTGACAAGATAAATAATAAACGATTCTTATTTTGAAAATCGCAGGAGGATCTTATACGATTCTTTAGCTCTTCTACAGTGTTAACTGGTATGATAAACCAGAATTATAAGATGCTCCGATAAGAAAAAGTCCAAACTATATAATCCAACACTAAAGTGAGCAGGCGCGCTGTCATGCATTACCCACAGACTAAAGTTCAAAAAATACAAATTGTTGTCAAAACTTGCATCACTGTGTTAATCAAGTTCAATTATCCAAATCCGCGAGTCGCATAATTAAAATTTCGCAAACTTTTCTTGCTTCAAGAATTTTTATATCGTTAAACTCGATATTTAGTGTATATTGTGTGGATCCTTTTCGTCCAGAAAACTAAAAGAAGAAGTGTACTGGGTGCTGTGCATATTCGTCCGTTATAAATTTGAAAATTGGACCAATTACAATTTGAGGTTTTTTGCCAATACAAAGTGTCATATGAATTGAGTGATGTTAAAATGATGTAAAGAAAATATAGTAAAATGTTTATTAATGATGTTCACAAAAAGGAAGAAATAAGAAATATTGCCATAGAACATTTAAGAAAATATGGTATCAAATACAGACCAAAAAAATGTCGGCCCGCCACCCAGGTTATTAAATCTCTTGCATGATTAAAATTACGTGTTTATAAAGAGATTTTAGGCACTTAAGTATGGGAAAAAGGTATTTAAAGTTCCTCTTCAAAATTTGGAGACTGAGACTGTCACTTTATCAAATGGACAGCAATTGAAAATCCCAAAGTGTATTCATGAAATGTGTTCATACATCCTAACTAAAGTACAAACAGAAGGTTTATTTAGAAAGGAGGGGTCTAGATCACGACAAAATGAAATAAAGGTATAATAAATATACCATTCATTTATTAAGTTATTAAGTAATTGTTTGTTGAGAATTTTAGTTATCTTTAGACAGAGGTTGCTTGCTTGGATATGACCATCATGTAATTGATGTAGCAGGGGTACTAAAATGTTTCTTGAGAGAATTACCAGAACCTCTTATACCTTTTAATTTCCACGAACTATTTTTGAGATGCAGCATCATTAAAGATAAATTAGATGCATTGTTATTGAATTGCTTGTTATTACCTCCTGAGCATTTGAGTGTCCTTAATTATTTAATGCAGGTTTGTTTATAAATTAGATACATTTCGTTTCTTTTTTGTTAAAATATGCTTTTGATTGTAGTTTTTCTATGAGGTTGGTACTTATTCACATTCCAACAAAATGACTTATAGCAACTTGGCAATTGTAATTGGTCCAAATATATTGCCAGTGGAAGAAAAAATAGTACCAAAATCCTCTTTAGTTGTTACAAAAATTTGTGATATAACCAAGGTTAGTTTTATGTACCAGATGTTTCAGATTCTCTCGTTCAGAAACTTTAAGAAATACAGAGTAGTTGAAATTAGGGAAAAGTTGTCTGTTGATAATTCAGTTGAAAAATTAAGGTTATGTGTGGTATTTCCTGCAAATTAGAGGAAAAATTGAAATTTCAGAATCAATGATTGAAAATAAATCAAAGTGATCTATAGTCAAGAATCTTTTTTTTATATTTTGGATTTTTGGACCTACAAGTAATAAAAGGGGCTCTTAAAAAATACAATGTGGTCTCCGTATAAAAATAAAAATTTAAAATAAATGAGTAAGAAATTGAAGATTGATTGATGATAAAATCTCTCAGTGGCAACTTGTGTTTTATTGTCTCCGATATACCAATGTTGAGAGGGGAATTTGCAGAAAATCAGGTGTATATGGGGTGGGAAAATAAGTCTGCAAAGTACTCTATCTCGGAAAATATTCGTCTTCGACACTTGCGGTAAAAAAATTTATGACTAAAGTGGTCAAAACAGCAGGGTGACAAATATTTTCAAATTTCAAAGATGGTCACCAGTAGGCGCAAACGCCATCTCAAACTTTTAAAGTGGTTTTTCTGTAAAAGCCACCCAGTAAATAATAGTCTACCAAAAAAAACTATAGAAAGTTAAACTTTATTCAAGCATTTGTTAATATCAATTGTAAATTATTAGCCGTCACTGAAATACCAATTGGGTTTGAACAGTGGAGTGCGTCGTGTCGGGAGCTACAATTTTACTATTTACAGTTTTCGTCTATCTCACAGGTGTCGCTAATTATTTAAAATAATACACCATTTGTGGTGCTAATTTTTATATTTTCCAAAGTTTAATTTGGTTTTGAAGTTATGCATTTTATGCCAAACAATTCTATTCATAATGCGAAAGTTACATTGTGGTAACACGTTTATAACTTATACTTTTCTATGGGTACATTTTTGTAAAACAGCAGGAATGAATTCACTGCGTGATGTATGAGAAATGTCAGAGTACCATCAGTGTTTAAAATATACTGGACACGCCTGATTAGCGCGGGTATTTTAGAGTACGTGGGAACTCTTTTTTCTAAAAACTAAGACATAATGAAGTGCTTAATATGTGATATTGGAACTTAGATGTTGGAGTGGAAATATAAAAAGCATTTTTTTTTAAGTAATTGTCACAGTTTTTTTGTTTATAAAAAATATCGAAATTGGCAAAAAGTCATATTTTGCGATTTCTAAATGAAGAATAACCTGTTTATATAACTTTATTCTAATGTAAAAAGATTTTTGCTTATAATTTCACCATAACTATCTAGGTATGTTATATCACTAATTTAAAAGAAATATTAGTTGTTTTCCAATAGTTTGTTGCCTAGTAGTTGCTAAAATGTAAGGTGTTCCATAAAAAATCATTTTTGTGTCTAGCGGTATAATCACAAGTTTCGAACGGCCCTGTATAATAAGGAAAAGATCAGTACATCGAAATATATAAAAGCAATATACCGAGTGTTTCATTAGAACTATAAAAAAAATCTGCTTCTACTTCAAAAAAACTTCATCAATACATCGATAGATCATCGGTCGATTAAGTAAACTACGCAATTTTCAGAGTGATGTTAAATTGCCCTCTTTTTATTGTTTTTTAGCTACTCATAGAAAACTGTAGAAGTATTGGTATAATTCCAGATTATATAATAGACCAAATAGGTCATTTAGGCGACATCGAATCTGGGAAAAGGCAGAAAAAACGACGAAGCGGATCACTAACAAGTAATAATTATGTTTTTTTTTTTGTTACCTTTGCTTACAGTTTTATTTTACCATTAAAGTTGAATTCACCCAGTAAACTTAAAACACTTGGTTGGTGCCTATAGGGCGAGGGCATTGGTGAAAAAATTGTTTTTATTCGCTCTTATTGCCCTTAACGAACATAAGTAAAAATTGTTGATTAACTTTAACTACTGTTTTAACAGTAAAATTATCATTTTCTAATCTGTAATTTACATTAGGAATGCTTAGCAGTATAAAAAAAATTGTCGGTAGCAAAAATGATGAAGCACCGTGTTTGGATCAGTTGGTTACACCCGATTTGCTTTTGATGCGTTCCACTAATGGGTCAGTTAAAAAAAAACGATCGGAAGGTTTATCCGCCAAAAAAAAGTAAGTTGAAAGAGTTACTAGATCTTAATAACAGCGTTTTGTAACTGTGTGTTCTAGAAAGGAATTGTTGACTAAGTTACCCGATTGTGCACTTCTAAATAACCCTTTTACTCCAAGTAGGACAATCAGGACTCCAATCAGTAATAACCCCAAGTAAGTTATTTTATAATATAGTTTCCTTTATAATAAATCAAGAAATGTTTTTAGTGGTGGAAAACTAAGTATAAATCCAGTTGATAACGAAAAAGATCAACCTTTGTAAGTATTTGCCAATCATTTGAGAAAATTGTCTTTATAGGATTTCTTTGCAATAATTTTGTCTTAAGAGTTTTGTTTAAATATTTTATGTTTGAAAGCTGTGAGCTTGATTTTATTTGGTGAGATGAATAATTTGTTTTTGTTTGTGAGAAGACGTTTGTATAAAGGTACAGTAGTCATCGGTTACAGCAAATATAAGGCAAATCAAGAATCTTTTTTTTTGTATCCAAACAATAATTTTAACCAATGTTTTAGGCAAAAAGAGAAAAAACATCATTGGTACACGCGAACTAAAAGTATGAAAAGCATTAAAGAAAATGAGGAAACAGCTATCAGTCTTCGAAGAAATAGCTTAGGCACAAAAGGTACTTAATTTTAACGATTTAACAATTTAACGATTTGGTATCTTTAAATTCTATTATGAGTGTTAGTTTAAATTTTTTGGAAGCAAGTGCTTGGGTACCTTCATTAAATGATCCTCGCCTATCGTTTTTGTTAAATAGGAATATTGGAACGTCGTTGGTCGGCTGTAAGTAATGCAGCAAACTTTAGAAGGAAGAAAAGAAGCTCTTGTATCAGTACAAAAGAGGAAGTTGCTTTAGTGGGCATTGAAAAACAGGAAAATGATTATGTTAGGGTCCCAAAGACTGAATATGATGCTATTAAAAATAGAGTCTCTGCAATAGGTAAGTTTTTATTTTTTATATTTTCAAACTGGTTCCACGCATCAGTTTAAAGAACTATTTGCCTTAACCGTTAGTTTTTAGAGAAACGAATTTCGTTAGAACTAGATAATGCAATATGTCAAATGGAGACCGACATAGTAGATATAAAACACGGCAACATTCAAAACGTACAAACTGCCTATGAGAAAACTTTGGTGCAAAGTGGATCTCTTAGTCCCACCACTGATCATTTAGCAAAAAGATTAAGTAGAGAATTAAAAATTAGACGTAGTGCTGAACACAGAATTATTCGGTAAGTACAGTGAATGTCATCTATTCCTAAACTTATTTTTCTATAAACAATATTTGAAATTATGAAATCCAAAGGATTTTTTTTTAGATTGATGTTATTTATATTGTTTTTGAGAATTTATTTCGTTTTTCTCGTTAATAATTTTGTTGTTTGTTTTGTAATACCAATGGAACCGTTTCAGTAAAATATGTATATGCTGATATGAAAAAATTTCAATTTTTTTTACAAAACGAATGAAATTCATTTGCAAATTTTATAAAACTTGCAATGTTATTAGGTCGCCAAGTGCCAGAAAAATTGGAAGTATTAGGCAAAAGTCAGGGGAAAGAGAGAAACGAAATTCAGCTCTAGTAAGACATCAATCATGGCATGTCGGGTCAATAAGGGATCATGTCGTTCCATCAATCCCCAGGGCTAGCTTAAGAAAAAAGAAAAACCCAACCAAGGACAAAGTTGTAAGGTCTACAAGCTCTAACTTAGTTGTAGTGCTAATTTGTTATCTATGTAGCAGTTGCTACAGGCATTTGAGAATACAACAGTGGTAGGGGCCAAAGTCAAGCTCTCCTCATCCTATTCAAAAGCGCCAGGTTTATCGTCGTCGCCTTCAAAGGCAATAAATTCGTCACCAATTCAACATCCAGCCTTTGGGGTTGACTCTTCAGAGAATAACACATTCAATGATTCTGGTGAGCACTGGACTAGTGCGGAGGGGTATTTTAATAGTACAAAAACTCCACAAGAAAGCGTTAATAATACACGTGCTTCAATTGCTAAGTTGAGAAGTCAGAATATTGGAATGGTTCGAGCAAAAGCTAGGCAAGTAACATCGTTAATTTATGTTTCCAAATGTTTCTATAGTTTCATATTTTATCCTAACAATCATTTTAACCATTGAAAATTTGTTCCAGATTATTTGATACATTGCAAGACTCTGGGAATTCTGCCTCTGGTCATTCCTCAAAATCACTTACAGGATCTACAAGAAAGGCGACTGCAAAAGCGGGGTATAAAATTGGTACAACCCGATCATCCGAAGCAAGAATGTCTTACAGGTTTGTGTTTCGTCATATATTCTTGCAAAGTGTGTTGAGATTTATTTTGGAGAAAAGCGCCTGAATACAATTTATATCCTTTATTCCTTAATACAACTATTCTCTTAGGTCTATAGAGGATATTATTTTTGTGTGTGGCAGATAATTCCAGTCACGGTTTTTTGTAATACTCTGTACTTTTTGCTGAAACCATAATTTGATTTATTGTTCTATGTATGCTTTTAATATAATATTTTTCAGAATAAGAGCTTTGAGAAATGAAGAAAGAAGATCAAGAAAGAGCATATCACCAAGGCATAAAAACTTAAATATTTCTCAAAAGAGGCTACAGCAGTTAGGTAGAGAGTACATCCGAGCCAATAAATCTAATTCGCCATATTCTGGAGAGGTAATAGTCCTTTTCTAGAAATATCTCCGAAAACTTTGAATTTTTGATTTTATGTATTATTTATTTTTTTATTTATATTCGCTGAGATATTCATAATCATTTAAAAATTTAAAAACCCATTGCATGCATTGTAGGACTTTACAAATTTGACAACCCCCCGACGGGGCCTCATTAGAAGTGACACAGTGTCTTCACCAAGAAAAACAGCGCAAAATATGCCTCATATAAAAACACCACTGGCTGTGAAAACTCCGAAAGGATTATGCCGAACCCCAGCTTTTGTTAATAAAAAGACTCCCTTAAAAGTTTTAAGTACACCGATCTGATAGATGATAGAATCATTTTAGTTCAAGTTCTCATATATTTTTTATAGCTTTATCCTGTATTGATCTGGTTTACATAAATTTCTGATTTACAATTAATTGTTTTATACTGTTTTTTAGGTTTTTTTGTGGATTGTATATTTTAGTTTTAAAAAATATTAGTTTAAAAAAGTTCTGAATACTAAAATATGATTAGTCTCGTGTCAGTGCTGCTTTTGTAATTTCTCAGTGCCATATATATTAAATGATATTTTTAAATCTGTTCGACTTGATTTGCCTTCTTTTTCTTAAAGGAATTGTCATGTTTAACTTATCAGTGGATTTTAAATTATTACGAATTAATTTTTGCCGATTAAGGGATGATTAACCTAATTACAGTTGATCTTTCACATAGCATAGTGCAACTTGGAAATTATTGTTCTTATTTTGCAATGAGGATAAAATAATTGGAATGAATCAATGCTCTACTTTCTGTTCTGTTTTTTTTTTCAATATTAACACCTTTTGAGGTGGTAGTCACTGTTTTGCATTGTGATTTACTAGCTGTAATTTTGTACACAAGATGACCCTAGGTATTTTTTGGGTGAAAATAATTCAATGCAGCTATTTGGTCCCAAAGTTAATATTAAGAAGATAGAGAATATTAAAAGTTCAAAATAGATACTTTTCAATATTTTAGAACTTCTCAAGTTGATAACTTTAAGATTAATAAGTAATTATACTTTTTTGAAAACATGTACAAGAACAAGCTATTGGTTATATATACAAAGGACATTTTTTTCATGTCTTACATTACAACCCAATGTACCAATTTTAAAGTATTTATGTTGACCAGTTTTTAAGATATTGGCAAATCATTTTCACATCAACTTTTGACCTATACGAACTCAAAAAAATAACCCCTTCATAATATTTCGTATTTCTAGTAAGTATTAAATTAATTTGGCTTCCTCGTCATCTTGAGTGTTTGTTTAATACAGTGCTATTTCTTTGCTCGACCTCCTTGGATTTTCTTATTGGTAACAGACATTTTTTACATAAAACCTTAAAACAAAAACTTAAATAAGATTAATACAGAAGACATCAAAGTTCTATTGTTAACAAGCTAAAATTGCTCTCTTCATGATGCTACTGTCATATATCTAAACTTTGTGCTTCCTAACAGCAAATAATATTTACCTTATTGGATTCATTAAATGCTCCAGCATGTAGTTCATGCCTATTTCTTTCCATGAACTTGTGGGGAATCAAACTTATAATATTTTTACAAATTTTTTTTTGAACAAATGTTCTGTATTGCATCCTTTGTAATAGTTGAAGCTTACTGCGTTGATATTCTTTTCTTGTATGGGACTTATCATTAATGGCTTTCAAATAATACCGTACTACCATATTTTTCACTGCTACATTCACATCATCATAGATATCATGACTTACACTCCTACAAAAAATATAGAGACACTGTTCATTCACCAACAGTGACGTAATCACTGAGCGTGATGTCACAAATATTACAAATAATGGTGGTAATTTGGTTTTTTCTAATGCATTATAACTAAAAATATTTACAGCTAGCAACTTATAAAATATGTTAATGGACAATGCTTACAAAGCTAAGAAAAAATTCTGCACTATATAGTCTTCTTTTTGAAAGCCAGCTCTCATAAAAAATTGAAATATTATTGCCAAGTGATATTTATCGACAATAACAGCACAACGGTCTTTTTTCATGAAATATTGGACAATGGGGTTATCTAAAAATATATATATAAATTATTTTCGTTATCCACAAATAGTTGGTATAAGTACCGAGTAGATTTATAAAGCATTCAACGTGCCTTTTAAAATCCATTTTTCTTTTCACGAGTGTCGGAATGTAAACATTTTTTTAAAAAATGTAGCGATGGTTGCCTATTGAACTGTTCAAATTTTCGCGGTTGCCATTTGAACTACAATCATTTACCAATGAGATTTTTCCACGCTATGTACTTTATCTGTCGGCCGCAAGGGCGACTGCAACATTTGACAATTGCCAAAGAAAAAAACAAGAGGCATAAGAAAGATAAACACACGTATGTTTGGATAAAATATCTCATGTTTCGTACATAAAAAAATCGTGCTGATATTCCATCATGAGGTTCTTAGGTATATCTTGTGTTAGTTTTGTCTTGACATCGATAGTAATTGCAAATGCGTACTATCAAAAAAAACAATTTTACCCTTCTGTTGTATATATTACAAAATCAAATCCTAGTATGGCTGTAAGTTTGAAGTATTAAATAATTCCCCCCAAGTGTTTACTCAAACTCTGTTTTAGGTAATTTATATACAAGCATTTATTGGGGTATGGATTATTGGTAAACTGATGCGAAAAATATTTTTCGGTCAGCTTCGGACAACAGAATTTGAAGTAATGCCACAGAAAGAATTACATAAATAATAGTAAAGTTAAATCCATTCTTTTTAGCATTTAATGGAACGGTCATGGTATGCGATAACAGAAACATGCTTGGCATTCACAGTGTTTAGAGATGATTTCAATCCAAAGTTTGTAGCACTATTTACCCTCCTACTGTTTCTCAAATCATTTCATTGGTTAGCTGAAGACAGAGTTGATTATGTAAGTGGTGACAATTACAACAATTATTTGAAATCTAAAATCATAACTCCAAAAAGTTAAAAATATTGTATATTGTACCAAGCTGGTCTAACAGTAATGTCTGTTGACATCTTTGTTAATTCTTTAAAATAATTTAAATATCAGCACTCTGTATGACTGTAATAGAATTTTCAAATGTAAGCTTCAACTTTACAGACATGAGGTTGAAAACGCCTGCCATTTTTGTGTTATTTTGGATTAAGAGAGTAGATGTTTCTTTTCTAGATGGAAAGAAGTCCTGTTATAAGTTGGCTATTCCATATTAGAGTTCTCAGCCTTTTAGTACTCTTGGGTGCTCTGGATTTAAACTTTATTTCACATGCTTATCAATCAACTGTGATAAAAGTAAGTTTTTTTCTCTGTCATTGATTCAATTAAATGCATTGCTTTTTTGTTTTATAGGGAGCATCAGTACAATTGGTCTTTGGATTTGAATATGCTGTGCTCATAACAGTTGTGATTAATATTACTATCAAGTATTTATTGCATTCTGTTGATTTGAGTAGTGAAATTCCATGGGATAACAAGGCAGTGTTTTTACTTTATACTGAATTGGTAATGGGTCTAATTAAAGTTATTTTGTACATGGCCTTTGTGGGTATAATGGTAAGGATCTTATACATTACTTTAAACATTATGGATGGCTTTATTACTAAATTCCAGGTAAAAATTTACACATTGCCTCTATTTGCATTTAGACCCATGTATTACACTATAAGAAATTTCAAAAAGGCATTCAGCGATGTTATACTCTCTAGAAGAGCAATACATAACATGAACACTCTTTATCCTGATGCAACTCCTGAAGAATTACAAGCTGCTGATAATGTTTGTATAATATGCAGAGAGGAAATGATATCTGCCTCCAAAAAATTGCCTTGCAACCACATATTCCACACCTCATGTTTGAGGTGAGTTTTCTTATGTTCAAATTAAAATTATTTTTGTGGTTTTTCTCATTTTTTGTTTAGGTCCTGGTTTCAACGGCAACAAACTTGTCCAACATGCAGATTAAACATACTTCGTACTCCACCTACTTCGACAACTAATAATAATAACCCTAGAGCTCAGGCCCAGGATCCTCGAGCACCTGCAGCGCCAAACCTAGGTCCCAATCAATTTTTCAACTTCTTCGCTGGGCCTAATCCATTTCAAGGTTTTAATCAACCTGCAGCAAATGTAGGTATGCAACAGGAAGGTCAAGGGGCAGGAGCACCACATACCCAGAGGGCGCCAGCACATGGTAGGTAGTAGGTGAAAGGTTTTCTTGGATATGTTTCAAGTACCCTTTAAAGGCCTATAAGGCGGTCTGTATAAAATTGCACAATTCCTCATTATGGTAAAGGTTGTTTGTGCAAGATGCTTTACTGGCCTAAATTGTGGCTTTTGAATTAATGTTGTGGGATTATAAATTCCATTCTTCAGCAGCTTCATAACTAGTAATCATTTGCACAGACAATAAAAAATACCCTGGTCATTCTCATTGCCTAGAGATACTTACATTCTCAATGTCCTAATTATCTTGCGAGTTAATTTTTGTTAGGTACATATAGGTAGTAGTGGCCTTACTGCATTAACAATTGATGCATTATTAACTTGTACTTTGCGCCATTTTTTTTTTCTAAACAGCGTTCTGCACACATTTAACTAATTCTTGCCTAAACAATTACTAGGATCTGGTGATATTTTTCTCAAAAATTTTTCTTCATAAGAATCTTCATAAGTTCCTATATTATCAGCATAAGCAGAGCCTCTGAATCTTCAGCAGCTCTATGGTTAGATATGCAGTGTCTCTCATAAATATTGTGGCATATTGTGAAATAACTGAAAGGTAGTTGTAGCATATGTTATTTTCTTAAAATTTTAATTTTGTTACCGTGTCAATCAGAGTCGCGAAAACCACAAAGTCCTATCTCTGCTAGTTACAGAACTGGAAATCAAAAATCACAAATTTCAACAAAAGTCCTTATTTGATTAAAGATGTCTTTAATGAAATTTGGACAAAGTTCATCCTCTGAATTTGAAGATAACAAAATCAAGTAACTCTTCAGCTCTTTGCCAAACTGATGAGATCTGGGAAAGTCGAAAGCATCAGTTACAAAATGGGATCACAACCCATGGCCACCTTTCGAACTTTCCAATTTTCATCAGTTTGTGGTACAAGAAGATTGTCTTAAGTACAGATGATGAAGTTTGTCCAAATTTGCACAATGACTTAAGATTGTACCAGGTCGGGCATTTCCAGAGACTTCCTTGCATTGAAGAAATCTTTAATGAAATAATGACTTTTGTTGAAAATTCTGATTTTTTATTCCCAATTCTGTTAAGAGTCGTATAATTAAATTTACAGATGCTGGGTCTAATGGGGAACAAACTCAGTCTCCACCGTTTGTGCCACCGCCATTTGCATTCCCTCCGTTTCCATTTATGCCTTTTATGGCCCCACCTCCTGTTCCCCCTGCTAACCTTAGTACCTTATCTCCAGAGGAACTTAGACTTATGGAAGGCAATGAACGAGATAATGTTGAAGCGCGACTTCAGTGTCTGAGAAACATCCAGGTAATTAATTAATAATTCTTCTCAAAAATAGTATTGTAAAGTGGTATTTGTTTAGACATTGTTGGATGCGGCTGTGGTCATGATGCAACAATATAGCGCTGCTGCGGCTGTGTCAGCTGCTGCTCCTGCTGGATATCAGACGACAGCGTCTCCGCCGCCGCAAAGAAATAGCACGGCACCAAGTACTAGTAACTTGAGTAATGGTCCGACAAGTGCTGAAAATGTGACAGCTTCTAGTGCCACATCAGCAGGACCAAGTAAATTCAGTGTCTTGAAATCCACCAGCTCAGAGAAAGGTAAATTGATTGATTCCAATTTGATTTGAAATAAAATGCAATTTCTTTGCGTTTTTTCAGTTTCTCAAAAAAGCTCAACTTTAACAAGTGAAGCTAATGGAATTAGTGAGAGTGTCGCCGAATCTAGTACCTCACCGGAAAACAGGGCACATAGAACTTTATCCTCCGAAGAAGAAGTTAGAAAACGAAGGTAAACCAATAAGTTTAGAAAAATCATCCCGGTCGTGAACCTCTTCTATTCTAACTTTTTTTGCTGGATCCAAGGATTGTAAGCAAGTTTAACACGAGCTGTGACACCACCTATCTCTCATACATTTTTCATGGATTATTTGTATAAGAGTCACGATGGGTAAATTTTGTTGTAATGTGTCATGTAATTCGACAAAGTTCATCATCTCAATTTGCTGTTTCATGGAATCAGGCAGACGCAGCGTGAAATGAAGTTTTTTCAACATCCTTGGTCTGGACCATAGAAACTATTTTATCAATCATAGCTGTTGAAGTTTTTCTCTTTCTACTGACTTTCTACAAAGTGTAAGTTGTCTGGAGTTTCAAAAAATTCAAAGTTAAAAGTTCCCTTTGCTTTCAGTTTATTGCTAAATTCTACGCAGCATGAAGTGAAGTTTTATGACTGTCCATGGTCTAGTCCATTTAAACTATTTTAATAATATCCGAAAAAATTTGTCACTTTCTGCTGACTTTCTACAAAGTTTAGCTTCCTTGTAGTTTCAAAAAACTCAAAATCCATAGTTCCCTTTGCTTTAAGTTTATTGCTAAATTCTACGCAGCGTGAAGTGAAGTTTTTTCACTGTCCATGGTCTGGACCATTTAAACTATTTTAATCATAGCATACGAAATTGGTTACTTTCTACCGAAGTTTAGGTTTCTTGTAGTTTCAAAAAACTCAAATCGAAAGTGCCGTTTGCTTTCAGTTTATTGCTACATTCTACTGTTTTCAAGAATACCTTCTATGGACTACAGTGCTGTAATTTTTACATGTTTAGTGCACCAATTTAAAAAAAATTAAAATTAAATTTTGTTTCCCTTGCAGGTTACAAAAATTTCTTCATCAAGAACAGCAACAGCAGAATTAGTATAAAGAATTGTGGTTAACGCTGAGTTTTTATCTGCAGTAAATGATTTGACTGGATATTTTGTTGTATGTTATTTATTACCTATATTTTATAATTTTGTAAGGAACTGCAGTGTTAATATGAGGCTGAGATGTATAGTAATGAAATGTTTGTTAAGGTAACAATAATAAATAATGCCCCATGTCCGTTATTTATTTGAATACCAGTGATGATATTTTTTGTTAACACAGGTAATTTGTTTTTGTTTTGCATGCTTTGTATGTTTTACAAAATAAAAGAAAATGTTTTATCTAAAATATTTTTTTACGGTATACTACCAAAAAAATCTACACTTTTTCTGTGCCTGGAGAGTATCAAAATCATCCAGCTTTTGTATAATCTTTTCGGGAACACATCCGATTTCTTTAGCATGCTGCATCATAATCTACAATTATCATCCAATTAGATAATAACATTGGTCCACATATTCTTAACGAACTTTTGTAATATCGCATCGAATTGAAGAAGTCTCTGCAGATACTTTATTGGTCTGTTCAAAGATATTTGGGCTAATCACAATCGCCATATTATGTAAATCCATTTTGTTTGTAGAGGAATGTGTTGTTATCTCCTGAAAAAACTAAAGAAAACTATACACGTTTTTATTGTTTTTGAAAACATGTTGGGGCTCAAGTTTTTTCCAAATCTAGCAAAAAAGCAGAAATATAAAAACTCTAAAAAATGAAAAAAGTAATTTTTAACTATTTTAACGAAATAAAGTTGGTAGTAACAATGGGGTATTTATAGTATATTATGCAACAAGTGCAGTAAAACGGCATTTGACTCACGAGTTTATTTGACACGAGCGGAGCGAGTGTTTAATTATCGAGTGACTTAAAAAGTTTACCGAACATGTTCCATACTGTACTTTTTCTGCGACCGTTAGTTTTGCGGCACATTTTCGCAAAACAACACGAATACATTCACTGACATAACCGTCAGAAGTGACAAACGTCAAAATTTAAGGCGTGGGAAATATCTCCGAAAACATCCGATTGCTCCCAAGTCCGTGCGGTAGAATCCCGGAAATGTCCGAAGTGACGCTTCCCGCACGCTAGATCGGTGTGTAATTAGGTATTTTACAGGAGGAAGTAGAAAAATATATAAATACAGTGTGTTTCAAGCAACATACGCCAACATTTGGCTTAAAAAGATGAAAAGTTCTAATAAACATAGAACCAGGAATGCTTAGTTATTAATATGGAGGCAATATTTTGCTCGATTTTGTTGAAATTTGGCAACGTCACTTATATAGATAACTAGTTTAAAATTCAGTGCCGTCCTGTGAAATATCTTAACATTAATATTGCCAATTTGTCAATTTTCATGATTTTTATTTATAAGTCATTAAAAATGCATAAATACATTTTTTTATTGTGTTTGAAAACATGTTGGGGATTAAGTTTTTCCCAAATCTAGCAAAAGTAAATAAAATAAAAAAATAAATACAGTGTGTTTCAAGAAACAACAAAACAACGCTTGGCTAACGATTCATACAAAAAAGATAAAAAGTTGTAATAAACAGAACCAGGAATGCTTAGTCTTTAATATGGAGGCAATATGTCAAATATATTTTGCTCGATTTTGTTGAAATTTGGCCACCTAATTTATATCGATAACTAGATTAAAATTATAAAGTTCATTGCTGTACATTGCAACAAAAGGCAGTGACCAATATCCTCTATTGGTTAAGATACCTCCTGGGATGACAGTTCATGGTAAAGGCCATACTTGCCTTATATATGAAGGACCAATTTCTGAGCGCGATTAAAAGAACAACCCATACACATATTTAACAATATACCAACCTGCATGAAGTACATCAATAGATAAATATGTTCTAAAGGCAATAAAAATACTGCCAACAGCAGAGCTTCTACAATATGATCTTCTGGAAGTTTGGCAGCCTCGACGAACCATCGTTCGTAATCCTGATGAATTAATGCATCAGGAAGATTTCTGATGAACGCTTTCAAAACCGCGCCGGCTTCTATAATGCTGATGTCGTCTGGTATGCGACATTGTTTATCTATATATTTCTATAATATAAAACAACGTTGCAATTACACTGTTAGTTGCATTACTTAGATGCTTATTGATAATGATTTTCTTACAATGGTATTTTTTTGTTTTATTTTCGATCCTTCTATTCTGAATATGCCTTCGACATTCATATCGCTGCCTATGAAAGTGCAGAGGTTGTAAAATATTTTTGGTATTGTAATTTTGTTTTTGCCCAAAATCATATCCACCATATCCAAGTTTCTTATAGCCACTCCGTAGCAGGTTCTCTTTACAGAAATTTTCTATAATTTCGAAAGAAAAGTCGACTAATTTTCAAGTTGAAGGGAAAATAATTAGTACTTTTCTTGGGAGATTTTTTAGTTTTAGGTTGATTCCATGTTTATTAAGTTCCCTTGATGCCAAGATTCTAATGGATTCACAATTATTTTTTAATACATCCATTGATGACGTTCATTTTGATTAACTGACTCTGAAAATTAATTAGTAACTGGAATGGTACATCAGAATCATTAGAGGATGACATCGACGTCAGAAGCTCAATGCCAAAATATTGTTTTTGTTGGGTAGTTAAATGAAAACTATCGATATTTTTCTATTGATGAATCACTGTTGCTTCCCATATTTTTATTACAATTTTTATTTTAGCTATCCCAAAAGTAATATTTTTGGTCATCCATTTTGATCATGCCATTCCAGAATCGTTTCACATTTCAATGGGTGAAACTGTATACCAGATGGGCGAAAAAAGTTTTCGTACCGAAACATATCACGTTTGAAAAGATAGAATGTTCTCGACCTCCGTGTCAGGGTGCGAAATTTATTAAATCTCACTGGTTCAAATAAAGTTGTTAATAGTTTTCAGTGAGAATCAAGATACATTCAGAACTATACATGATGCACAGGTTACAGTGGAATATTCTCAAAGCGCGAAGTCTAGCTGACTAGGTCAGCTAACATTAACAACATGGCATTTGAAAACCGATGCCAAAAGCTCAAACAAAAACAATCTTTGAAATTTTTTATAAGTGCTAAAGGCGTAAAAATATATTAGCAAAACGCCAGCTGCCAAATGGACCGATGAGGAAAATATTTTGAAGAGGTTTTTTAAAAATTACTGTTATTTATTATATAGACTAGTCTTTGCATTGACTTCCAGGAATTGTGTACCTACGAATTCAATTCGAGTAATTTTATCACTATCCCGGTTGTATTTTCTTTAAAAAATATAATAACATGCTATATTTGAAAGCTCATCCCAGCAGCTCTGACAAAAACAATTTGTGAAAGAAAAGAAATATAGTCCTCCCCTTTTCGTTTTTATATGTGCTACAGAGGGCAAAAATATATCAGCAAAACGCCAGCTGCCAAATCCGCCGAGGAGAAAAATATTGATCAAACGAACTGATTTCTATTTATCCTAAAAGTATTATAGCAGAGAAATGGTTCTATGCATAGGCCCAACAGGTTCTGGAAAGACGTTGTTGTTAAAAAAATTGCAAAATATCGATGCCGTTGATAATACCACCAGTGCCGTGCCGACAGTTGGAACCAATATCATCAATCTGAAAGTGGCAGATAAATTGTATACAATTCGTGAATTGGGTGGTAGGTGGTATAAAATGTCCGTCAGAACTAATTGACGAATTATAAACTCACATAATATCGAAAGGAATATCCAAATATTTTGTTATTGCAGGTGCCATTGCCCCAATGTGGCCTAATTATTTCGTAAATGTGGGGAAGTTAATGTACGTTGTGGATGCTTCGGACTTATGTCAAATATCTGCTGCTGGGGTTTTGCTTTATACTACTCTTGTAAACCCGTTACTAAAGGGTGCAAAGGTAACTAGGCATTTACTAAATCAAATGTTCTTCAAGAAGTAACCTTTGTTTAAGTTCCTTCTGGTCTTGTCGAAAATGGACACCAGTTACAGGCAAATGAGAAACGAGGCCTTGTTGATGTTGCAAATGAGGCGCTTACAAAATGAAATCAGTCAAAAAATTACCATTTTGGAAGCAAGCGCGATAGATGGTAAAGGACGAGATGAAATATTGAAATGGATAACTGATTAGATGATTAGCCAAATTTACCTGCATAGGTCAAATTTCTCCAAACATAACTCAGGGTATCCAATTTTCGATGTTTTTGGAGGGTGGGTATTATTCATTGCTTTGTGTAACTTTAATTCACCCACATATTATATCGCGAATTTGCCCGATGCTAATAAAAACAGCTTCGCTTTCTCTAAAAGCCAATAATATATAATACAATATCCGACTTTTTTCCAAAACACTTTCGGTTTCTAAACAAGGTACTGTAACGCACCGCTAACAGCTTTCGATGATTTTTTGTCGGATCAAGTCGGTTTTGCGATTTGGCGGCACGGGAAATATATAAGAGAGCAAATTGGGCAACGCTTTAGTTAATTGTATTGTAACTCCCCGAGCTAATTTTAAAACAAAAATGTGCAGCTTTAAGGTAAGCTTAGCTTTAGAAGTTATGTGATTTGCAAATTTTGAGGTTTAAATTCGTATTATTTGCTTAAATAGTATCTACATGGTGACCATTTCTATAACTAGCACAAAATCAAAATAAAATGCTCTTGGAATGAACAGTATTTAAAAGATGTTTTATAAAATGATATTTGTTTAAGTTTAAAAAAAAATAAACGCATATTTTTTGGACTTTCGAATTGCGACTTGTTTCACGTTGGTACAAAAAGTGACGAATTTATTGCGTGGGGATTTTAATTGCACTTAGAAACATTATCGGCATGATCAACTAAGGTACCGAATAAATTATCCGGTTCGAAGGACCAAAAAAAATGTACGTGCGGGAATGCAATTTAAACCACTTATTTGTAAAAACACGAATATATTATGCGCGTTAATTCGGGAGGTTTTTTTTAAGAGCTTCAGCACCTTACAATAACAAGACGGCGACTGGGAAGGCTGACGCGCAAATTTCATCTTTTTTGGTCTACTTTTAAATTTATATTTCCCAAATTGATAAATTTCATTTTGGAACGGAAAGCTTTACAAATTTTCGACCCATACAATATTTTTGTCTTGCGATACAAGAATTACTCCCTCTCCATAATTATTTATATTTGTCCAAAATATGAACCACTACCTCAAAAATTTAAATACCAAATTTCTACATTTTACACATTGATTGTTTTTTTTTTTAAATTTGTGTTAACTTTAATAAAATAAAAATCGATATATCTACCCGATTTTTAAATGGGGCGGCTGGTTTAATTCATGGACGGATTTTTTCCTTGTTTATGGTTTGCGACGAGCACCTTTTAAACTTTATTACAGTCGACAATTTGACAACATTTGATTTGATTGATATAAAAACTTATGTTCCTGTATTTTTTAGGTACTTTTGTTGGTTTTGGCTTTCATTTGCTTTACTGTGTACACATTGGCTCAACCTCTGTCTTACGAAGATTCTGCAGCTGCAGCTTCTGGAGGTAAATTGATTAGAACCGTGTTAAACCAATATCGATAGTTCACTTCGTTTCTAACGATTTGAAATAAAGGAATACCACAAAAAATCGTATAATGTGCAAGAACATCTACTCATTTGCAGATCATCACCATGGACGTGTACAAATAAAAGTATTCCGAGGCCCAACGGAACACAGCGGACATGACCATTTTGCTCCGTGGGGTTACTGGGTCAAGCAACCAGCTGATGATCATCATTAGATATTATATCTTCTTAAAAAATTAATTAAATTGTTCATATTAGTTGCCATTAAAACTTCTATCATAGCCGACGCCTTTAATTTAAACACAATAAAAATCATTTGAACCTTTAACTTCAAATATATATTTCTAATAACTTTAATAAGTACATATGTGATGCAAACTATGTAAAAATATGATTGCATTAAATGTACCTTTAACAATACCATAGTTAAAAGGATGTAAAATCTCTTAATAATACCATAATAATACTTGTACAATAATATTAAGGCAAACTACAGGACGGATATTTTTCATTTACCTTGAGACAAAATTTTAGATGTACAATTTAAATATTAAAAGCAAAAAACTTGAAAAATATATAATAAAAAATTTTGCAACATCAACTATATCGTGTGCATACATTTGTGATTTCACCCGAAGTACCAGCCATTTATTTTTGTTATTTTCTTATTCGAATTATATTTAAATGTTATTGAATTTTAGGTACAACATATATAAATCATTTGTCATCTTCAAAATTCGGAGTAAAAGGTATCTTAAAAGTGGGCAAATAAGGTAATTTCTGAGAATGATTAAAATTGCTAAATCATCATACATGTCTAAATAAATTTAGATATGGCTTAAAGTATTGTATGGTATGTATTGAATCTGCCAACTCAGAGGGTGAAATTAATTAATAAAATCATATAAAATTACATGGAAACATATGATAAAGGTACTTAGAAGTAATAAATATATACAAGCATAATAAGAATTAGCTTAAAATGCTATACACTCCCATCCATCTATAATAAGACTCAAAACATTCACAACAAAAAGGTGCTAAAATATGTTAATACCTCAATTATAAAATTATTATATGATATAACTCAACAAAACACAAAAAATTTTACAAACAAAATGTCTTGCCATAACATAATTGTAATACACTCATTTTTATTCATAACTTTTGTTTTCTTCTGCATTGATGAAATTGAAACAAAACAAACATTTTCCAAGTTAAAAAATTATCGGCTATTATATTGTCACAATGCTTCAAGCAAAATGGAAGTTTTTACAAAGGAAATTGATAAGAAACAAATTAATTATAATATCGCAACATATATTAATAGAAATCTGCGTATTTTAACAAGTTATTTATTTTAAAACTGCAAAACACACTTAGCCAACAACATTAGAAGGCACTGCGTTATGAAGGCACTACTGATGTCTCCTCATTACGGCCTTGTTTTTTGATTTTACCACAGATCAAGGAAAAAAGCACATTTTAAACTTATATATTCTTGAAAGGCACACTGAAATGTAATACTTACTTGGTTGAGCAATGCAATTTTGTTAGGCATTGTCTGTTAAAAAAATAAAAAGACCACATAACCTTGCATTTGAATAAAAATGTTGTTCATATCTATGACACATGATGCGATATTAAGAATAATATAAACAGAATCCTAACTGCAAGGAATATTGGAAAAAAATGGAATGTATATTTTAGTCTTATATGTTGTCTACTCTTAAGTACATTAATTCTTTGACAATGATTGCCACTCATATTCACTCATTTTTGTAGCATCTTTCTTTGGATTTAACATATTTACGCAAAATAACAAAAAATAAGTGTGCTACTTATCACAAAAATTTTGTTCTCCATACTTTGATTTGTTTGGTTCTCAGATGAAACCTTTTTGAAATTTGTAATTTAATTGGTGTAATTTTCTTTGATTACAAATTTAACATCAAAGGCGCCAGTTCCCAATCCAAATAAATGTAATAAACTGGCCTGATTTTTTTAAAAACATCCAATACTTATTTGCAACCCAAATTCAGTCGAATTCCTAGTTTTCTAATCTATTAAAATGAAAGGAAGTAGCTTAAGATAATTCACAGACTTGTTGTTACCATGTGTAAAACATACTCCGATGAAACCTATTTGTGTTAAAGGTGTAGGATTCCGTCATCTTTTGAATTAACATCTTCCAAGTTCATTCCAGCTGTTAAATCGACAATTTCATCTTGATCATATTTGTCATCAGGATCAGAGCCACCAGTCGTGTGAGATTGTTGTGATCCACTTGACATGTGAGAACTCCTTCCAAAACTACCCCTCCTGACAGGACCGACTGTCCTTTGATTGGCAGGTTTTACAGTTATAATAAGATTTGAACTATTGGCAATCATCATATCGGTCACCTGTGTAGGGAAAATTATATATTTCACAAATAAAGATATAAAAATAATAAGGAAATCTATGCCTGATATTTGATTTTTTTATTACAACAAACAACAAATAAGTTAATAATAAAAAAGTTAACAATGAAAATTTATCATCATAATGTAACTTGGGTTTTGCAATTGTTAAGGCTAACAATTGGTGTGTATAGCACAAACTTAAATTATTTTTGATAGTTATTCTAACTAAATAGTCTGCTTTTATATTATATGCTAATGAATATGGGAAAATGATATCTAAACTTGAATAAATAAGTTATTTGAAAATGTTAAGAAAATTACAAAATGGTAGTCACATACTTGATCTAAAGTTTTGCCCGCTACTTCAATTCCGTTCACTTCCAGGACTTCATCGTTTACAGCTAAAAGTCCTGTAGATTCTGCTAGTCCTCCTGGAACCAGTCTTGAAATGAAAACTCCAGGAATTTTTTCTAAACCTAAAATTATTATCCATATCCATTATCCATACATTAAACCAAACCAAACAAAATGAATTCTTTATTGCTTATTTCAAAAACAAACCATTTTGTGTAACTTTTACACTGGTTCCATCTCGTATGTAAAACCCCAAAGGCTTGTCTGATCCATGTTTTAATAATCGTACTCTTCTACAAGTTTCAGGGACAATGTCAACATCTATAATTGCAGAAACTTGTCGAAAATCATGCGGATTTGAAATTGGTAAAGTCTTGGTTCTACCAGGTGTACCTCCCAATATACTTGAAATGAGATTCCTAGGTTTTATGGTACCATATCCATTCAATTCTTCTAAGCTTTCACCTGAACAAAACCAAATTAAAAATCATTTATTGGTATACAATACACTACATCTTTTACAGCAAATCATTGGAAAAAATCACAGTAAGAAATGATTCTTAAAAGCAGTACAGATCTAGATAATAAATGATCCAATAAATAGTAACAAATGCAGAGATTCATTAAATTACCCTATAAAACTTGCATATCTGAAACATTAGGCTATCAAATAAAAAAGATACAACATACCTTTTCTTTGGATTATAACTCTCAAAAGAGGTTTGGCATTTATAAGAGCTCTTCGAAGATTATCATCATTATTTATTGGTAACAAATCTTGATCACTAGGGTCAATATAAGAAATCAAAAAAGCAATGTCTTTTAATCTGTGTAATTTTTCCAATAACGATTTAAATTCCTCAAATTTGGATTGTGAATTTCTTTCTATAGAAAATCTTCTAAATTCGGCGTCAAACTACAATTAAAACGGATAATTAACATATTATTTATCAATCATAAATTATTAATAAATGCATGCTCTAACAATTTTACAAGTCTATTTAGTTTGGTTGGTTACAATTAAACTTAGAAAATCGCTAGACTAAGTTTTGTTTACTGTGTTTTTTTACCTTACCTTGCTTTTAACTTCGATTTTGCTGGAATCGTGTAAATAATTTTTAGAAACAATCTTATTTTTTGACATCTTTCATTTACATTTAGTGTTTGCCGTAGGGTATTTAGTCGGGATACACTAATAAAATCGCTCAGATAAAAACAAACAAATCAACTTAAAAACACAATAAAATCGCAAATTCTAATTTATTTACGTTTCGCACTTCATTCTTTTCCAATGGCTAATCAGAAAACTAATCACCAGTTGATGACTACCCACTAAACCAGTGATCATAAAAATTTAACAAAATAGGCGGTTGGATTGAAATAATTGATAGTCAGTGACATGTTCTTGACTTAAATAATATTCGATACTAAGTTTTGCTTTCAATGCATGCGAAATTATGAAACGGTAATTCGAATTAAATAACTTTTTAAAAAGTTCGTTGAGCAGCAGTTGAGGACCGCTGGTAATCTGACTCGGTTTTGCAGGTTACTGTTCGATTTTTGAACAATCTTGTCGAACCAGAGTTAACGTTTTCTACTCTATCTATGCACTAATTCGGTGTTTAGTGTTTATGTCAAAGCGTATCCAGCTATTTAAAAACAGCGAAAAACATTTACTTTATACAGTAATATATTTGATGAATATTAGGTTAGAATTTATTAATGCATACAAATCGCTTTGCGTTGCTGTTTTACCACGCTCAAAAATTTCAAGTTGCATTTGATATAACTGATATATGTTATGTTATTATTCGATACGTGTACGACTGTTATTTTTTCGATCTCGAAGAACTGATAATAGATAGGTTTCAAAACGCACCAGTTTGCTATCTGTTTCGCTTATTGAATAATTTTTTTTGAGTATTGGCTTTTCCGTCATCATTTCGGGGTTTGTGATTCGGATTAAGCTTTTTAATAGAAGCGTTGGATAGTTTTGGTTATTATTCAAGTTCACCGGCGGGCTAGACCTTTCTTTTTAATGTTAGTAGCAATAGGATTTCCGTTGTCCGATGATTTTGTGTAGATATATGTCGTTCCCTTCAAGATCCGATTTTGATAAGTATATTCTTTTTAATTACAAAAATAAAAGGATTATTTTTTCTTGTATGTTTTAATATAACATTTAAATCTAAAAAAACACAACCTTATTGTTCATTTATCAATAACATTTTTCCACTTACTTGAGTAGATACAATTTTGCACTTGCTTAAATTAAAATTGTCTAATAATAAATTAATAAAAAGGATATATCATATCATCTGTCAGCAGGAACATCATAGTATTTGAAAAATAATTTCCTTCTTGCGGACAGTGAATATTTTCATAAACAAAAAAACTAACTTAAAGTTAGTAGATATCCTAGTCAGTATAAATGCACAATATTACAGGAATAATGCAATGTTAGTCCCTCAAAACAAACTAAAAAACTTATTAAAATGAAGGAGAAGGAATTGTTGGTTAATTAGACAAAATTACATTCGATTGTCGCCTTACCAAGGCTGACTAGAACTAGAAAGTGAACTTACAAGTGCACTGCAAACTGAGGTGTTTTGAAAATCTACGGTGCTAATAAATCAAAAATTCCTTTTCCTTTCCGGGTTAATAAATGATCAAAATTACCTTTGGCTTTAAACTATAATATCTACGACTTCTAAAAATTATTCACAACTGGCACGAAATAAACATAATATACAAAAAAAAAACGACCACCCACCATTTCACTAGGCAAGAAACGAAAAACATTTCAATCACCTAAAAAAAAAGGAAAATAAACAAGTTCCGAGGGACAACACCTGATGCTAGATCACGCGTTGTCGGCATCTAGTCAATCCGACGGTTTTTTAATTGTAAAACAATTTATATTGAAGTGTCGGCACATCTGCCGAACCTGAAAAATTACATAATTTTCATGTTAAAGCCGCATCAATTCAATTTGTAACTCTCAACAAATATTAACACTTACCACACATGTACCATAATGCCAATGGGCAAGAGTTGTTGTAACACACAAGGTATAAAGAAGGAAAAATTCAATACTCGACGATTGGGTGATTCCTGAAATCAAAACCACGACCAGAGTGGGAACCATCATCCAGTTGATCCAATCACATCTGGTATTGCTCATTTGAGCTACTATTACTCGACACTAAAAAGTAAACCATTTATTTAATAACGCTTCATATTTCATTAGGTAGATCTGAAATCGTTTTGGTTGGTTTTTTATTCAGCTTGTTACTTAGCAGGTAGTTTATTTTTATTTTAAGCGTGACAGGTTAATTTTTAGCACTTAAAACTGTGACTAGCATAAATAAGGGGTTTTTCCGCCTAAAAATAAATATTTTGTGATAAATTATATCATGTCGTGGCCTGTTAGAAAATAAATTTGAAATTACAATTTAAACTAAAAAAATTAGATAAAACAAAAAAATATTCGTAATTAAAAAACTGTACTTCAGTTTCAGACTAATAGTGGAAGATTCAAATTTTAATTCCTCAAAATACATTAACTATTCTATTTGAAATCCCATTTTAAATTTATCAATATCGTAAATCAAAAATGATATTAATACGAAAATGTATAATAAAAAACAACCGACAAAATATTTTTTAAAGTAAATTTCACAGGCGCTACTGTAACATTATTTACAAAACTTCTGAATTTCTCCTGGCTTGCTCCTGGTTGTTGTTGATTCGAACTTGCTAAGGTTTCGCCAATCAACCTATTGGCTTCTTCAGAGCTTAACCGAAACTCAGTTTCAGTTCGACTCCGCAACAACTGATGCAGGAGGAATCCAGTAGAAGAAATACTAAAAAAATAACAAAACACTTACACTAATATTTGAAAATATTGTTCCCATTAGGAAGAACAGAGCTCGCGGATCTGCATCAATGATATTTGACGGAGACTCGAAGACCCACAAAAGCGTAATCAAGAACAGTAGAAATAGAGGAATCAGTGGCCTTATCGCCTCTGGCAATGAACGCATTTTCCCTGTTCTGTCACGATATGATTTATAAATATTATACAAAACGAGAGGAAGGTTAGACATCATCGCTGAAACATATAACAGCAGTTCCACAATTGTTCCATTTGTAATTCCAGCTATAGAATAGTACCACATCTCATGTCCAAAGATCTGAAAGGAATTCATTGGTGAACTCAACAGTCAAGACTATATACAGAGGGATTTATGTTGACTGTGCCTGTCTAAAGAACTGAGAAAAAGAACATTGCCTAATAAATAATATGAATGTCTCGGAATGTAAGTGTCTAATATGCACATTACGTCGGCAGAGCTTTCATTATATTACATTACCACAGAAGAAAACGTTCCATTTACTACAATATTAAGCTAAACCAGCATACTGTGAGATTTACGCTCTAGCAGTGGTGGTACCTTAAGTTTGGAATAACTTAATGACACTCAACACGAATCACCCCATATAACTTACTAATCAGCCAAGTAAATACTTACTAATTAAACAGAAACTTACCCCCGTTAGGAAAAATGTGAAAATTATACCCCACATAGTGAAGTCATAGCCCCAGGGCAAAAATAATATGCCCGTGTTATATTTCTCAAAATGAGCAAGGTAAAAATTAACAAGAATGTTCCACATTGTAAAGAACATTCTGAACGGAGGTATACTGTATCTTGATCCTCTGCTAAAAATCGAATACATGGCTGCGGGAATAAGGGCCGAAGTATAAGAGTCAAGACCATGATCAAAAAGTTCTCCCAGTGGTCCACTGGTGCCTGTCCGTCGGGCCTGTTTTCCATCTATTCCATCTGTAATATGATCGGAACGTTTCGCGTATCATATTGTTTACAAATTATTGCTTAATAACATGTAGTTATTAGAGATATAGAGGCTCTGCGTATGCCGATAATCAACTATGAAAAAAATTTTTTGAAGGTCCATTCAACATGCGTATGCGCGAGATTTAAAATCTCGTTTTTAACCAATGATCTTGAGGGATTTAACAACCAACATGACAGCTGACAGACATTTTTGCGGTAATATTTTCTCGAAATATGCCCCCAGACCTCGTTAAATGTTCTGGGACAACGAGTGAAAATCGCTGTTTACAATGTGCAGGTTAGTGGGTAAAAAGCATGCGCGGAAAGACATTAGCTCTACAATGACGCCTGCGGCGCATCAATTTTTATCGTAGTAGAGCCATATTATCTAATACCTGTAAAAGGCTTAATACAAAATCATCAAAAAACCTACCACCGAATTTCAAATTTTAAATAAATTTTCAACGGTAAGGACGGTAAGGAATTACGCCTGGGACACTGTGATTTACTTATTCATTTACTTACTCTTGTTTAAGAATAAACAAGTTCTGACTACTGTAATACAATAGACGTACACCCTATTACGCAAAATTATGTTATGCATATATATATATATATATATATATATATATATATATATATATATATATATATATATATATATATATATATATATATATATATATATATATATATATATATATATATATATATATATCTATATATTTAGAACTTGATGAATTGGGTTTAACATTGAGAAAAATAATAAAGCTTAGAGAACCCACAAAACCACCTGCGCGCCTCAACTTCTACTCAAGAAAAGAAGTAGATTTAGTTCAGGTTTTTCAATTTCCTTTGGCGAAATAAATAATAATATCCTAGATTTTTAAGCAACTTTGAATGCTGAAAATTTCCAAACAGTTCCTGGAAGGGCTCAAGCTTTCTTTCCTAGCATAAGATTTTGTGCGGGAATTCTAGACATACCGTTTGTCCAGTTTTCTTAAATAGCACAGTGAAAGATAACTTTCAAATTCTAGGAAAGGAACTAACCCAATTTTGTTCAAATTTCTCTATACCAATTTCATAGGGTCTTTGATATAAAAATTAATTTTCATGATTTTGACATAGTATAACATTGCACGCCGCCATTTCGAAGAAAATTTTGCACTTAGGCAGAATAAACTTAGTAAAATCTCATTTTTATTTAATTTTAGTTTCTTTTAAACTCTTTCTTGCTTCACAAAAAAGGCTTGGGGGCTTGACAGGAAGAAATCTTCTTGAGCTTGATTGATTGATTATTGCTTTTTGAAAAAGGGCAATATAGTTGGAAAAAAACTAAAACAAGGTTTTACGAAGTTCATTCTGTCTCTGTGCGAAACTCTCCTCGAAATGTTGATATTACGTAAGAATCATAAAAATTTATTGTTTTTCCAAAGGCGGTGAGACATATACAGGAGGTTTATATATGACACTGCAGAACTTGAAGTAAATCCGTTGATTCGTTCGCCAGATACTTCTAATAGGCCATCCAATTTGTGCCACCAGTTATAAAATCATCAACCAGAATAGTTTTTTGTTTTTTTTTCCTTTGAAATTCAAGTAAGAATATTTTTCTCAAAATTTGAAATAAAAAAATGTCCACGTAAATTTGATTTAAAATGAACTTTGGAAATTAATTACAATTCCGAAAAATATCCAAATTTTATCGAAAATGGGCCTTCATTCCAGAATAATGACTGTGATTTTTATAGTAACGTAGGTATTTAACTAAATCGCACAACACGGCATTTTTTGTGACGGAAACCCAACTTTTAAGGATCCTACGAACTCCAATATCTAATCTATTCAATTGCTAACTTCGAATTGTTATTTTTGTATCAAAAGAAATTATAACTTCGACCTATTCTGGCCCGACTACGATAAGAAAATTATATCGTTACAGATTGTGAACTACAGTTTGATATTTTACAGCGAATTATTTATTGCCTGTTTAACAGTGTCAGGAAAACGCAATAATTGCGGGCAGGAGTTTGATGGGCCGCATTTACTTTGTTTTCAACTTTTACCTAATTTAAACTAATAAATAAATAAATGTTGTAAATAATTCGGAGGATGTACGCGGAATTTATGTATATAAAATTATGGCGCAATGTATTTATTACCTACTTGGGTATTTTAAATAAATAATAAATTAATTAAACCGCCTTTATTTTAAGGTCGGCGAAGGTGCGCCGGGTTGTTAACTTAATCGAGTATGTAACAAGACAATGCAAACTTTTTTTTTAGTATATAGTATAGTATTTATTATTTATTTAGTATATAGTATAGTATATTTTACATTACAAAGATATGAATCAAGCATAAATCAAAAACGATAAAAAACAATATTAAATAAAGCAAACTGATATAGATATATCCAAGTTTTGGGCGGCCCAAAATATATTAATGCAGACTTATTCGGATTTAATTTCAAGGCTCAAGTAAAATATTCTTTTTACCGGCAACGTAATTTTAATAAACAACATTTTAATTGCTACTTTTTTTATATAAAGCAAAATTATTAAATAAAATTATTATAGCACATAATATTTGATTGGTACCAACGATAATCATTAAAAATGTAAATGATTGACGACAGCAACGTGGTATCGTCAAAGAAGAAAATTGTGCCTGATTAAAAAATGCAATTAGAACGCTTAAATTCGTCATTGAATTCGTAGAACATTTGTGTTTAAATAAATAGAAAATCAGTATATAAGAATATCCTCTATCACATAAAGATATTATATACCTAAAAATTGTAACAAAAAATATATAACCTCAAAATCAACTATATCAAAGAAGTGAAACTTTTGTTAAAGCCGTTAGTTTTGTCTAGTTTCCATGGTAGAAAGTAGTTTCACGAAAATAGAAAACCTTTGACATATGTATGTCAAAAAAATCTTACAAACTACAATTATTTGAATTATAAATATACCTATAATAATTACATCTGCATATTTTCTAATTTTATGGATTACTTAAGATTTCCTTGGGATAGCAACTTGTTACAATTCACCAAAAATTTGAGTCAGACTAGTAACGGAGAGCTAAAGACGACCTAAATCGCAATTGTTTAGTGGACATTTTTAAATTATCGCGAGTGTGTTCTAAAACTTAAAAGGCGTCTAATTCTAGATAACTTTTAAACTATCATTCTTAATAAATTAGTAATTAATATAATATTTACATGTCTATATGTCAGTTGTGTAAAAATTACATTAAATATTACGGTTGTGTATTCTTTATGTGTATGTATATGTAAAGACACATTAATTTATCAATATATTATAATCACAATATCTGCGATAGGTAACAATTAAAAGATACTAGTTGATCTCACGTTTGACTTCTTTATTATTATTTATTTTTTTGTTTTTGTTTTTGTTCACCGATTTGATCAATACTAATGATAAATATACAGTAAATTTTTAAGGATGTTGGTTTGACAATAATTGTCATTAAACAACATCGAGGTAGTGGTATATTATATAATAAGTTTGGTAAACGTGAGCAATTCTAGAGATTTTGCTAGGGAACCTACTTTAAAACTGTTATACTATAGTTATGCGCGATCGAAATTAGAGTACAGTTCAATGATGTGGCAACCAATATTCGATAAGTACATCACTCAAATTGAAAATGCACAGAAAAGGTTCTTGACTTTCATATAAATGGTTTCTACTCGGCTAGAGAACTGCCACAAAGTGATTTATTACTAATTTATTACTAGTTTTTGTATAAACTTTGCAATTCATTAGTGGATTGCGCTGAGTTGCTAAGCCCGCTGAACTTTGATGTTCCTTCAAGGACTATACGAGCATCACCTATATTTCACCTAGTAACTCCAAGAACCAATGTTTTGATTAAATGTCCTCTCTATAAGTTGATGAAATTGTTGAATAGCTTCTGTAATGATATTGAATTTTCTTGTCTGAGTCGCTCACAGTTTACCACATTAATTAAACATAAATTTGACTATAATGGATTGCATGTTTCACTATTACTTTGCTGGGTTGAATATAGTTGACTACTTATTATAGTTAAAGTTCTTAAGATGAAATTGTCTTCTAAATGGGTGTTAATCTGTTAGACAATAAAGATTATTATTATTATTAATAATAAACAAGTGACTGAAGAAGTATATCAAGGTGTTGCATATTATACTTTTTCTAAGACCAATAGCTTTTGGACACATTTTTGCAAAATTGCACGTAACGGAAACGCCCCAAGGGACTCAGGACAGTGGTTAACGAAGCTAACGTCATAAAGCGACACATTGCGCACTCTTAATCACTGTATAATTTGGTATGTTATAGTAGAGTGGAAAATAATTTTGGAGCGGACTGACTGTCCACTTACTGAAAACTGTAATAGTAGATTCAGAAATTCTGACCCTACACATTGTGAAGGGTTTCTCCCTGTATTAATATCGACCAATACAGATATAATTTATATCCTTTTCTATCTAATATTCTTTTAAAAAAAATGATGCACTGTGTGGAAATTGTCACTTTAAGACGTCACCTTCCTTACCCACGTTCTCGAGTCAGTTCAGACATTTCGAGGTTTGGAAGGGATCTGAGATGTTTTCAGGGGATTGTAACCACATGGCAATCAGTGAATATATAAATTTTATTTATTAAACTTATTAAAGTATTTTATTTTTATTTATTTATTAAATTTAAAAAATTAAATATGCATAACATATTATTACATAATTTTTTTGGAGAGTTATTTTCATCTTTCATTTTTCAGAATAGGACGACCAATTAAATTTTAAACAACAATGATGGCTTTGTTCAACTGTATTTACCGGTGTAATGTCTTTGATTTTGACTTACCTAAAGTATAGGCGAGGAAAAGAAAAATGGCGGCAGCCATAAACATCCATTTTGGTAGCGAATCGATCTCAGGATGATCAGGATCAGACGCTAAAAAATCGTAATCCACTACTGCAAACATGACGTAAGTAATGACAGTAAAAAGGAAGCCACTAAATGTCAGCAAGTTTGGTGCTACCCATTTTGGACAATACTGGAATAAAAAACATAAAATAAGCTTAAACAGGAAACTTTCTTGAACTCAGACATATTATATTAGTTGACTGCCTGTCAGCTTATCCAATATGATGAATGATGGCCGATTTTAGGCCAAACTACTTGGTTTTAGGCCAAATCAGTTTTTAAAAAACTTTAAAAGCAGCAAATGCTACAAAACTGGCCAAAAGATAGTACAGAACCAAATATGAAAATTAAATATAATGACAGATTTGGTTAGCTTTAGTTAGTTTTTGCTCATTGCTTTCCAACACATAAACCATTACAGTAGACCCTTATAAACCGATTTGAACTACGAAAAATTAGTTTGACCGATAACATATTTTAGATTTTTCATATCCAAAAAGAAGAAACACATCTGGTGTGAGGAAAATGAAAGTTCATAAGTGATTTTTAAGACAGCCTGTATATCTCACCACTTCTGAGATTCCAATATTTGAAATACCTTGAAGATCAATAAATTTTAAAAAATCCTTAAAACACTGTGGATATCACCACCTTCTCAATTCCTCAGCATTGCCAGCACTCCAAAATAGTCCTGTACCATGACTGAAGAATGACGGCAAATGACAAAGGTGTTTTCATAGATATTCCCACACTCAGAGTGTAAGTTTGATACACTAGATCAGCTTAATTAGAATGTATATTTTTTTAGTCCATTTTCTTTTTATTTAACATTGTCAAAAATGTTTTACATACCTGTACTACCCAGTTCCAAAACGGGTGCATAATATACAGGCTCAATGGTCCTGTATCAATGGAATTGTACTACAAAAAAAAACAAAATAATTAGGTGTTTTGCTTGTGTAGCATGCAGGTACAAAACCTTGTTAATTGAAAAGATGCGTCAGAACACTTAATTCAATTTACTAAGTATGTAATATTACTTAGAGAACAAATTTTTGTAGGTAAATATTGTTTAATGACAATATTCAATTTTTTAAACACAATTTAAATGTTTTCTGGCAAGTCCATAATAAATTGTTTTTTTCCAACAATCTGTTTTGATTTGTTTAATAGAATATATTTCTTGTTCCTAACAAACAATACCTATTTGCATACCTTATAATTATCAAAACCGGCTAAATGATCCGGGTTTAAATATTCCTTTTCCAAAATCATTTTGTTATTTCAATTTATAATTGCAACAGAAACTAGAATTCTGACACCATGGATTTAATGTAAATTCAAACTCATTACATGAATTAAAACATCTTTGTTTCGCGCAATGGTATTTAAGTGTTTTAAATTAAAAACACATTATATACGTTCGCTATACCGAACATCATAACACACACATGCTTTCTGCCCGACCATTTATAATTTTAGGATTTAATGTCATCCTATGTGATCATTCTCGTCGCGCTACCTCGCGACCAACTTATGAAATAGGAGAGCCAGGACCGGACTTATTCAATAAATGTAAGATGTTATAAAAATAAACAGTTTATGTAGGAAAAGGGGAGGAGGTACTATTAATTATTGTAAACAGTCACTTTGTTGGGCAATAGTCTGGAAAGTACTCATTTTCCTCACGATTGTGCAATCAGAAACTAGCAGGTTCTTACTTAATCTCCACACCAGACCTGTAAGGACCCCAGAAATTTTTTTTCTACTCCAGTCTGTATAATACCTATTTTCTACTCCCGTCTGCAAAATACCTAATTACCCACCGATCTAGCGTGCGGGAAACGACACTTTACCACGTCAGTTTTGTTTCCCACGAATCCGAGCCATTTCGGACATTTCCGGGATTTTACCGCACGGATTTGGGAGCGATCGGTGTTTTCGGAGATATTTTCCACGTATGAAATTTTGACGTTTGTCAAATCTGGCAGTCACGTCAGTGAATGTATTTGTGTTGTTTTGCGAAAATGTACCCGAAAACTAACGGTCGTAGAAAAAGTATAGTATGCAACACGTTCGGTAAACTTTTTAACTCACTCGTTTATTAAAAACTTGCTCCGCTCGTGTCAAATAAACTCGTGAGTCAAATACCGTTTACCGCGCTTGTTGCATAACATACCAATTATACACCGATCTAACGTGCGGGAAGCGACACTATACCACGTCAATTTCGTTTCCCATGAATCCGAGCCACTTCGGATATTTCCGAGATTTTACCGCACGCATTTGAGAGCAATCGGATGTTTTTGGATATACTTCCCAAGCTCTGAATTTTGACGTTTGTCAATTCTGACAGTCATGTCAGTGAATTTATTTCTGTTGTTTTGCGAAAATGTACCCAAAAACTAACGGTCGTAGAAAAAGTACATTATGCAACACGTTCGGTAAACTTTTTAAGTCAAATGCCGTTTATCGCACTTGTGGCATAATTTACTATAAACACTTGTTTATTATTTGTTACATAAGCTTGCTGAAAAAATAATGTATGCAATTTTGCCTACTTATTTAAAAAAAAAGCTACTTTGATTCCCTAAGGTTGTAACATAGATAAGTTTTGATTGAAATTTCTATCTGCAAGTTTTTTACCTTTCTTCTTTATTCTAGTCTGTTGGCAGCGGCGACGATATGTCATTTAGCAATACTTACTAATGATTATAATTTTTGATTGTCACCAACAACCCTGCATTTTGCTATAAGCAAATTTAGAAGCCAGTTACTAAATTATGAACACTGTAAAAATCTAAATGGCAAAAGATGGTGGGGGGCAAGGAAATTAAAAAATTGTATATTAAAAATAAACAATTTTATGAAGAACGACTTGTACTAAGAAACAGTTTCACCATTTCACTCAAAAAATATGTTACACTTTCTTGGTTGTGGTAACGGTAAACTTTTTATTCTGTGTATTTCGATGGTCGAGTCCTACTGGCTTTGGATTTTCAAGTTCATAAAATATTTTCAATTTGTCATTAACATATTTTTCAGCAGAAAAATTCTCAGCATCCTTGCACTGCTTAATAAGAACTGCTTGAAATGCTTTCTCCTTCTTTAATTCTCTTTTCTGTCTACGTTTAGCCCATTCAAATTTCATTTTCTTCCTGAGCTTTTTGAGTTTATGTTTTTTCATCTTTTTTCTGCGAATTACTATGAGTCTGACTGCTTCTTTTGGTGTGCTACTTTCAGGTAGTGCTGGAGCTTCAATTTGTTTCTTGGTCTCTGGATCAGCCAAGGGTGGCTTAAACGTTGCATCGTTCGGAAAGTCTAATCTGGTGTTAATTATCGTTGGCAATTTAAGGACGCCATTTTCTCTCCAAATGTGTGGATTTGATGTCAGAGAGGAAGGAATAACCGGAGTCCTCGAATTTAAGGTTAAGTTCCGAATCAAATTTTTAACAAGTTTGACTTGTCTATTTACACCTAATCTTAAAGCAAACATATCAAGCTTTTTTTTAGTTTAAATTTTCAAACATTTGCCTCTATAAAAAAATCTCGGTAGTGCTATTTTAGCCATACAATATAACCTTACTTTATTTTATAGTAGTGATTAGGTAGGTAGAGAGCGACCGCCACAGTTTAGACTTTATCTTCTTCTTTTTTTTTACGGATGGCGGCTACTACCAGCGCTGAGAACTCGGTTTATGCCACTGGTGCGGCACCACAGATTCAAAAAGAAGTTTCAAATTCCGCAAAAATTTTTTTCGACATGTCACGCTCTGATTTCCCGCATATCATAAGATAGTTGTCCTTTTCTGTAGGGTGTATTTTTGAAAATAAAATTAGGCAATGCACGTGGAAACTTAAATTGATTCTACTAGGCGAGTGCTCGACAATGGAATGGGCAGTTACAGTGCAGGTAGAGGCATAAGAACAAATCCGGAGAATGCAAATTGGTAAGTCTTGGCTTCTAGCCATTTATCTCTCACAAGGAACAAATTTTAAAGTGATGTGAGTATCCGCGCACCATGCCGCGAAAATTTAAAAATATGTTACAAAACTACGAATAAAGAACATTATTTTGTTGTTGTTTAATCAATCTTCAACATATTTTCTAGGACAAACCGAATATTCTGTTAACAAACAAAAACAAAATAAAACATATTCAGAAAAAAAAAGCAAAACATTAAACCTATTAAAAAATATCTATACAAAAAGTGTAGGTATCTGGCATATATATACATATTACAATATTATTTTTTAATTTAATTAAGTAAATAATAGGTAGAAATTTTATATTAATGTATTTGTCATTTGTCGAAATGCCGAAGGTTTGTTTAAAGGCCCGAGTTAATAATAAAAAAGCCGGAGCCTTACACCTAAATTCGTAATAAGAATTGGAATGCTTGATAATATTGGTTATATTTCTTCTTTTGATGATGATCATAGCAGTCTCGCCCAACAGAAATTGTGAAACGCATAATTGAATTGAATTGAATGTACTATTTATTATCTCGATAGGGTTGTATCAATATTTGGAATAATAAAACCACACCCATGTAATTTTGTATATATTTTTACCCAAGGTCACGTTTATCTTATAATACAGTATCGGCATTGGCACTTTCAAAAAAATATATTCCATGTAAAATTGACAATATACAAATACAAAAAAAAAAAACAAAAATACATAATACTTGTCAACAATGTCTGGCAAAACGTAATAAACTTAAAAGATGCATTCGCTACGTTTCGAACTCGAATGGCACCTCAGATCACAACACAAACTTTTACAGCATAGTCACTTTTTGTCGTCAAGCTTCCCTTTATCAAGAGATGACGTTACTAACATACCCTGTCCTTGTTGAGTATTTTGGTTAGGAAATACTTTATCCAGGTGTTTTAACGATTCGCTTAAAAAGTTCTGAATCGCGGTTAAAGCTGCGACTATGGCTGGGCTTCCGAAACCGTGACTTATTAAAGAGAAATGCGTTAAATGTCTCTGAATAGAAGGATCGAGAAGTATTTGGGGCCTGGTATTGCACAAAGGCGATCTGTCCTGGTTGAGCAGATCCATAAGCTCTTTAGTGATTTGCTTCGTTGCCTGAAGGAGTTCTTTTCGTCTTGGAGTCTCTCCATGCTGACGAAGAAGATATTCGGCGACCTGACGTGCGGGGAATTCCGTTTCGCAGACGTAACCGAAATCTCTAGCCAAGTGAATAGCTTCCCCTGCAAAGAATGCCAATATGCATTAGTTAGGATTCCTTATTGTTATTTTTTTAGCACAAATGTTTGATAATAATACCACTATAGTACAATTTTATTCCCTATGTTCAGGTAATAATTCAAAAACGACCAAAGTTTGACAACTTTTTCCAGTGATTTAGGAATCCACTATTAATTAGAACCACACCCATTTTTTGTTTTCGTTTAGGTATATTTATTTTTTGAATTATTCATGCTAACCTGTGAAGTCAGATTAAAGCCTTTTTTCACAAATGACAGCTAATTTGACCGGTCCTGTATTTAAAAATTCCTGCATTTTAAAATCGAAAGTTCAATAATTCGATTTGGCAATTATTGCTAAGATACGTTGTCATCATGTTGAAATTAAAAAAAAGAGATAGCGATTATACAAATTTTTGTTTTTTGTTTAGAGTGTGCAGGATGTTTTCTTCAATATAAGCTTAATTGTAATATGTTCCAGTTTCAGTTACCAACCACGGACCTTCGGATTATAAGGGATTAGTGACTTCCGTACAATTTTACCAAATTTTAATATTTTATTGGTTTTACCCCTGAAACTAAAATAGTGGAATATTTTAAAGATCGTATGCCTGCGACAGCAGCTATGGGCAATCGGGTTATGAAACAAATGCAAAACTTTAAAATTTTACATTTAACTTCTTTTATTACGAGCCCATTTTTAAATAATAAGTTAATGACAAATGTAAAATACAAAATGGCGCAAGCAATTTTTCCTTCACCTACGTTTAACTTTTATATAATAAGTTTAAATTAAATTAAATAGATTAATTACATTTTTTTAATAACAGTCAGAAAAATATTGATTGAAACTAAACAAAACTAACTGTTGTAAACAAAACAGTTCCAAAAGTAATGCAATATGAGAACATGTAACTCTAATTTAATAAAAAAAAAGGGGAAAATTGATATCCAATCGCCTATTTTATGTTAGGTACATATTTAGAAGGTACCGACAGTCGTCTGATAGTACTTTCAAAGAAATCAAACTACTTTCTTCTTTTTATTATTCATCCATCTAGTAAAAACAATAGGTACGTGGCAGAAATAGAAGCATACGAAGAAGATGACACAACTATCTTAGGTACTACGCAAAAAGAGTGCTGTCAATTGTTTTATGTGCTAAAATCCTGGCAATATTGAGAAACACAGTAAAGTGTGCAGGGATTCTGGAGATATTTTTGTTTCAACCACTTCTTAAGATTTTTAAAATATTCTTAGGAGTAAGAAAAGGGTTAAAATTTGGATAATCCGTGCGGAATACTTTAATAATGTGGTAGCTTCTTTGACAGAAACAAATAAATATCTTAAAAACACCAAGGTTATAACCTATAACGTATAACGGGCTTTCGTTTAAAATAAGCAAGTTGACAACTATTTCCAGTATAATTGCAAGTGTCGCCATCTTAAAAACATTGTAACCAGATGAATTGACCGACTTTATACTGATGTTACATTTGCTTTGAATTAGCTTTTCTTTAATGAAATTTTATAAGCTTAGAAGCCGTATTCAAATTATAATTTGCAATGGACAAAATAAATAAAGTTTTTGGAATTGCCAAAGTGCACTAAAATTGTGGCGGTGCTGACAGTAAAGAAACGTAGCCGTTTGAAAGTATTACCCAATGTTTATCTTTAAACTTTGACCTGTATAAGCGCAATAAAGCATTATTCGTGACTCTGTTAACAGTTTTGTGGTGTGTGGTTTGTGGAAAATACCACAAGAACAGTATCTGTCGATCCATTTTATCTTATTTAAATTGCTGTGTTGAAAGTTGAACTCGATAAATCAAAAGACTAGCAAAATAAAAGCAATCCTTATGAAATTAAGGAACAATTAAATATTATAGAAGGCCAAGTATATACATACATTGCGTTGCTTGCAGGTGTAAGGCTGTTGATTCGTCGGGAAATTAAAAATATATTCTTCTAAAAAGTACCACAGATAAATTTAAAGAATAAAATTTTTACATCAAAAGCTTTGTTTTGATAATTGTTATTTAATACTTATTAAGAAACACCGTTTCCCTTAACTCAACATTAATTGAATTATTATGAATTTGGACGTTCTTTCTTAGAATATTTTTGACATTGATAATTCCGAAAATAGTTTTTTTAGTGTAAACTATTACAAATTTAGCACCTTACAAATTAAAAATTAGAAAACGTGTAATTTGCGCTCTCTACATAATATGTGAAAAAATGCAACGTAATTATTTTCACTACCTCCTCGAATCCAAAGTTTTCGTTTCGATATTTCAAAAAAAAGGTTGTGCTATAGAGAAATAACAATTTCAAGTTGTTCACCCCGTATCTCACTTATAAGCGACATTTTACTTAGGTATATTATACGTATATTAATAAGAACACAATTATAATTACAAAACAAAAACAAGAGAAAAAGCGTAAAATGTTGTATTATCAATAATAATTCTGGAATTGTCGGAGCCACTCCAGTCAGCAGTAGTCAGCAGTGAGTAAATGTTTTTAAAGTGGGCAGACAAATAGAACATGCTAACGCTTTTCAAGTTCCAACAAATTGCAGAGCAAGCAAATTTCATCTTGGTTGATTGTGTACGACCTCTCCTCGTGAATCTATAGATATATTTAGTGCACATGCGTATTTGGCCGACGAGCCAAATTACGTAAAATGGAACCGTTATTTCTAAATAGTTAGCGGTTGATAATGATGTGTTCGAGAACTGTACAATATAGCGTAGGTGGCGCTGTTGGTTTAGAAAATTGCCATTGCGATTATACTATGCGGTAAGTGATGAGATGAAAGCTACTTCGATTTTTGTCCTAACCCAAAAATCAGTTTCGACTTTAGTCACAAGTTGTCATTGATTACGGCAAAAGTTAAAACAATTGTCGGAAGCGCTATACTAATACAATTCTCGTGAAAAACTTACCTTCTACTAATGATGTCAGCAAAGTTACGTTTGCCGCTTTCCTTCTACCGGCGGGCAAATTAAGGCCAATCTTTTCTAATTTTTCCCTGAGAATCCTTCCTCCATTTTTGCTTTTCGCTCTCCTCAGCACGCCGCCTAAGAGAGACGCGTTGAGGCATTCCGGAGGCGATAGTCTCCTTTGCACTTCACCCACTGTTACTTTGTATTTGGAAGTCGACGATAAGAGGGAGAGTCTGCCGGGAACCGAACAGAATACGTCACTAGGCGAGACCATGGAACCTACTCCTGAATGATCTTTGCCTCCTTTCATCCCTGGAAGAAATGCTTTGCTTTTTATTGTACTGATAATAACTACATTATAACTCAACGATATTATACTTTAATTACACTACCTATCCCTATTCAATGTCAAACAGCCTTAATTGCGCATTGATGCGAGGGCAGTTTCGATAATTTAGAGAAGAAAAGAGTGTAGCTACTATATATCTGCTTTTTATATGCAGGGTGGCTTAATTTCGATAGTATACCAGGTATGAACCGATATTATTGATATTTTTTTTTAAATTCGTATAGATGCAATACAACGCTGGCAAAAATATATAGTTGAATTTAAAGTAGTGTAGTGTAGTCCAAATTTAAAAAAATATCTATTGCGGGATTGTTTTATTTCACCATAATAGTATATTTCACCAAAATAATTTAAATAAAAAAAAGTGTATTACGTATACGACAAAAATAGTTGCAATTATACAGGGTATCTCGAAATATGTTGTATATAATTTATATAAGCATCTTCAGCACCTAACTTACTTATTTTAATTTAAACACTCGGTATATCATTTAATTTTTGGGTTTCTGAGAAAATTTAATGTTTTAATCGTCCGTATGAGTATCGAAAATACAAGAAGCATACTTTCGAAATGGATATTGAGAATTGATTACAGGATAGCTCAATCAATGAATTATATAATTTTCAAAGATGCAAAACGTGCTGTTTTCAAATACGTTACTATGTATATTATTGCATGGTGTGATGTAAAATTTAAGTCTTTTACATCGATTGGCTGTGCCATTCTCTATAAATATCAAAAGACAATCAACAGCCAAAGTTCTTTCCCGTTAGCATTGATTTTGACAAACTTTGAGATGTTTTTAGTATTTGGTTAGTTGACTTGATTTGAGATCATTTGATTTTCACCTATGGACCTAAATTTTCAATGACGTAATATTATTTCCCACATAATGCCCATGAACTTGAAACACAAGAAACAAGGAATACAAAGTGAAGGTAAACGAAATCATTACAATCATTGTTCAAAACTTTATTATTTTTCGAAGAAGTACTTGAGTATTATTATTAAAATTGTGATAATACCGATTGTGTTCCACCAACTGCAAAATACAGGGTCAAATGTTAAAACGTTCAAAATGCAAACTAGCGTTGACAATTTAACGTTCAGATAGAGAACGCAATTTCTTCCAAATTTGAAGTCAGGAAAAAAAGTATTTATAAAGAGCGCTTATAAAAGGAATCACCTATATATCTCATAAAAATTTATGTTATCAAAGTTGATAATCAATAATAAGTAAACATCGTTTTAAAACCCTTTAAAACTCACTTTCGTTTCCATTTGATGGAGATGTATCGTTGGTTAAAAAAAAAACTCTCTGCGAACAAACCATATTATGCCATTAAAGTTGTCATACAACCATCAGAACAAATGTTTCTTTTTTACACAACGATAACAATACTTAGCCCTGAATACAAAAAACTACTAACACTCCCTTATATCACTAGATGTAAAACTCCGTAGGTGGCAAACGAAGGGGTACATCTAATTGGAAAGTCATACATTGTTTGGTTGTGGGACCAACATCTGTTGGTCACGCCAGTACACACGAAAAGAAAAATTTTGTTGAATCTCGACGCTATTTCCAAGTTCCAAGCCTTAAAATTACTGAAGAACAAGAAAAACTTAAGTTTTAGTTAAACAAAGACAGGACTGAAGCCCAAGTTTTTGCTGAATTTCTATTGTATACAGTTTTATCGGGCACAGCTAATATATTCATATTTTCATTCATTGAAATATTTAAATTTTGTAATACGTAGCGGATGACACAACAGTTACCTAGATCTAGATGTAGATCATCATCCATTCTAAGCAAACACTATTGTATTGTAAATAGCACATTTTTGGATTTGGCAGGAATGACCAGTAAGTAACCATACGATATAAAAAAAACGCACCGTTTTTTCAACTGTAACTTTGTTTCATTTTTTCTTTTCTTTGTTTGTAATGCGTTGCTGTTTTCGTTCTAAACAAACAAAGTTTTCCTATTTTTCAAACGCAAAAATATGGAGCAAAAATAAATTGTCGGAAAATCGATATTAGGAAATAGAAACAAATTGAGCCTCCACCAAATATCAAGTAGGTTCTTAGTGGATATTATTGTCTCCCAAGTATATAGTTATCGGATATATAAAAATGACAAAAAATAAACAAAAATTTGTTATTTTTCTCATCTATGGAAAAAATTGTAAGTGTAATAAGATCAATCGTCGACCCATTAAAGGGCATTAACGTTCTACATGTTAAACAAATAAATAAACAAAAAAATATTATAAAATATTTGTGATTTGTTTTTAACTTATGAAGAAGGAGGCCTTGTAGCATAGAAATACTCACCCTTAAGTAAAGGAAGATCGGTTATAAACCCTGTATTGTCATCTATGCCTCCTTGTGCGTCCTCCACGGCCTGACCTAACGCTTGATGCAAGGAGAGCGGGTCGTCGTGCCTTTGAGGTGCGACTGAATAATCAGGTCTACCACCTCCAGGGGCACTGTAAGGGAAGCTTGCACCGTGGCCCAGTTGTCCCTGAAACGAAACAAACACTGTTTTGGTGTTCTTGAAATGGTGGCAGGGTGGACAACTCAAAAGTATCGTATCGTAAAGCTCGGACAAATTGCGATGATATTTTTCAGTTTTTTAAGACCTACATACCTTGAATCGTTTTTAATAATTTGGAGAATGAAGGTAATAGACAGCAGCAGGTTATAATTATAGAGATATAGATAGATATTAATTATTTTAAGATCAAGTAAATAAAAACTTATATTGACGGATAATTAAAAAATATAAGAATAATAATAATAATAACAATAATAATTTATGGACGTTAACAACCCTACGGTTTTACACAAGTCAGCAAAAACGTTGAGCAAAATCTACATATATGTATAATTACAAAGGCACCGCGACAAAAAACGTTAACCATTATTAAAATTGATAAAAAGTCATCAAATGAGTAATAGGCCCCATCCAGCAAAAGTGATTTGACCTTAATAGAGAATTGTCTCTCCGGCAGCTCTCTGACGCTTAGAGACAATAGATTGAAGAATTTAGGTTCATAATAGTTCTTATGTCTTTGCAATTCTTGAGTAGTTAATCAACATATCATTTCTGTTTCTGGCGAGATAGTGGCAAAGATTAATATGAAGGGGATATTGATCCTGGTTGCTTTTAGTATACTTTAATGCCGAATAAATATAGTAACATGGAACAGTTAATATTTGGAGAACTTTAAACTTTGCTCTTACGTCACCCCTAAAATTCAACTGCGTCATCGCCCTGATGGTTCGCCTCTGTAAGGCAAAAAACTCTTTCGGTATGTGAGGAGTGAATAGATAAATTAGTGAATTAGATAAATTGTCATAAGTATCATTTATTAAAAAAAATCCACTATTTATAATACAATTCCATTTGTAAATTGTAGCCATCATGTTCCGAATTGTAAGATAAAATATAATCGTTGAAGTCCTGAGAAATAAGAAGGGGTTCTACAGTGTTCTACATTGTCTTCATTTTCTCTTGGATTTGAACGTCCCTCATTTTACAAGTGGTGTTATGCTTTGTTACAAATCCTTTTACTTACGTCCATACCAATTCTATGAGGTATTCTTCACAGTGATAGTGCGAAAATTTTGAGGTTTATTCAAATTTACAATATCCAATAGCTTCCTTAAATTGTTTCTTATTTAAAGTAATGAATTAATGAAGAAGAAATAAGATTTGCTGGAAGTAGTCTTCAAAAACATCAGCATTTCTGTTTTTATGATATAAATAAATAATAAAAATATCGTCGTCTGTCTCTATTAAAAGTGATTTTTTTGTTTTAAATTTTTTCGTAACAAAAATTCATTTCAAGAATGAACTTTGCCAACAACTGCCGGAAAGTAACTGTGCTTCTAATTTTGAACACTGAATACTAAATAGTGGGTCAACTACCTGTCCGTTTACCTGCCACTCTCGGGAACCTTGACAATCATAACGGAGTCATAGGAATGGAATACGGTTAAGGCAACGAAATAATGATTTATAACTCCCACAAACAAAATTCCTACAAACAAAAATCTTTAGAAAATTTTGACAATGTCAATATATATAGTTTCGTGAAAATCTGAACTTTTAGTTCTTATTTATTATCTTATTTATAAATGGATTTTCATCAAGTAAAAGCCACCTTAGTTCAATTACTGATTATATTCAGCATTCACAAAGATTATCTGTGGATTTTCATATTTTTTAATCCAAATTGTAGAGCGAGATGAGAACAGCGTTTACAATTATGAAACGAGAGTTAGTAGGAAAGTGTAATGTTATAAAAATTTTATTTTTAGTTACATATGATTCCTGGATCAACATCACGCGAAGGGTTCAAATATGCATAGTTTACGTACACCACTCGAACAAAGCGTTGTCGTTTTTCAACTTTTCGAAGAAAATATAATTCTCAAAGCATTCCCAACGCTTTAGGGCGCCATCGGCTGATCTGAGCGCTATCCGGATGTCAAACATTCCTCAACTCTGTAACAACTATGTCAAGAGATCGTAAATATGCCAAGATTGCGGCCTCCTTCGGAGGGGATATTTATAATATCAGAAAGGCGTCGATTACGGAGCCGAGAGACGCTTCTCCAGCGTTGCGATGCACTTCCTTAAAATTCACGGAACAGATAAGTGCCACATTATCGGTTTAAATTCGTCTTTTCACGCGTGCCTTCAAATTCGACTCTAATCATTCATGAAGTTTTCAAAACAATTTTTTCATGGTTCAATTAAAATAAATAGAGAGAGGTCCCAAATTAGGGACAAAAAATTAGGCAACAACTATTTCTTTTAGACTATTTGTAAAACAATAATATAGCAAGTGTCCCTTTTTCCATAATGTTCTCAGAAGTATCCGAATAATTTTGGTAGTTTTATCGGCATTTTGCCCCAATTGCACCCTGCGTCATTTTTATGGTTTTACGGCGTATTTCCCTTATTAATAAAGTTAGCGTGTTGTGGTTGTTGTGACCCAAGACCCAACAGAAATGTGAGTGTGGCTTTGCAAATTTTCCAATTTTAGACGCCCTTTGAAGTTCGGTTAACTAATTGAAAAGGTGAAAAATGATCCAGATAGATTTTTTTACTCCCAATTTAGATGTATAAACTAAACTTGTTTTTTTTTAATGGAATACCCTGCATGTTTTTTAATCATTTTATTAGGTTGTCAAAAATATATAACAGACACGAGCTGTTTCAAATACGCAAATATCTTTAATTTTATTTTTTTCTGACTATGTCATTGAAAATAAACTTTTTTTTTATGTTAATTACTTTATTTATTACAAAGGCACCTGTCAAAACAAACTTGCAATATTAAATGATAATTTACAGCAGAAGAAAGAACAGGTAGGCTCCTCCACTGGGTCCGACGTAATTTAATTTAATTTTAATTAAAACAATGGAAAAAAAATAATGGAAAAATTTAAGGGCACATTCTTTGAGCTTTAGGTCTGTTTTGATATTTTCCAATTTAATATTGAACAAAATTAATAAACGTCCGATTGAATTTAAACCAATTTTCAAATAATACAGTATGGAAGAAATGACTATTTGAAATGAAACCAAAAACTCAAAATATAGCAGTCAATTCCCATTTCTTTTACTCATTGTTCCGTTAAAAAAAAATTAAAACGATTTTCCCGTAAATCGCAAGACATTACAAAGTTTCTAAACAAAACTAAAAAGTAATTTTGTATTTTTGAATCTATCATTCTACCATTCGGCAATGAAGAATGTCACAATACATTTATCGGATTAATCGGATTCCCTTATGGAAACAGTAGGAAGCAATGGAATAGTCAAAGAAATTAATGTGCATTCTCTCATGTAAAATGCACAATTATAGACCTATCTAGTGTGCGGGAAGTGTCAATTTACCACGTGACTTTCTCGTCCCACGGATCCGAGCCCCTTCGGACATTTCCGAGATATTACCGCACGGGTTTGGGAGCAATCGGATGTTTTCGTAGATTTTACCGCATGGCTTGAATTTCGACGTCATGTCAGTGAATGTATTCGTGATGTTTTGCAAAAATATACCCAAAAACTAATGGTCGTAGAAAAAGTATAGTATGCAACATGTTTGGTACACTCTTTAAGTTACTCATTCATTAAACGATCGCTCCGCTTGTGTCAAATAAACTCGTGAGTCAAATGCCCTTTATTGCACTTGTTGCAATTATACACCGATTTAGCGTACGGGAAGCGCCACTTTATCACGCGAGTTTCTTTTTCCATGGATCCGAGGCAGTTCGGACATTTCCGGGATATTAACGCACGGGTTTGGAATCATTCCAATGTTTTCGAAGATTTTACCGTACGGCTTCTGACCGTCATGTCATTGAATGTATTCATCTTGTTTTGCAAAAATGTACCCAAAATCCACGGTCTAATATACTATTACAAACATAACTAGTGAACTAAAAGTTCGGTATAACCAACTTGTATTATTTTTTTTTTAATATTCACAGTCATTTTGCTGAGAGTTTTTATTACTTTTTCCTTATTTACAATTTATTTTGCGCCTTGTTTAAATTAGGCAAAAGAAAGCGGAAGAAAAAAAGTAAATTTTGGCTGCGACCGAAACAACCCAATTTGTTTATGATATGAAAACTAATAAATTTACTTTATTGTAGTACAAAATAGTCAAGAGAAGCGCTTCAAGATGAACTAAGGCGCCTCTCCAACAGCCATGACCGTCAGAATTGACACACGTCAAAATTCAAGCCGTACGGTAATATCTCGAAACAGACATGATAAAAGGACACTTCCGCACGTTAGATCGGTATATAATTAAGTATTTTACAGAAAGGAGTAAAAAAGAGACGCTTTTAAGTATAGTTTTAAAATTCTAAAATTCCAAGGAAGGCCGTGACTGAAGTATCAGGAATGTCCGAAGTAATTATGCATAATTGGGCTCAAAATAACTATAAATTTACCATTTATAAACAACTTGGAATAAACGATTTGGTTATTATTAATTAGGATAAACGCGAGTTTTTTTTTCTGAAGAAAATATACTGGCAAAGGCTTAATTATTATTTATTTGTTAGCAAAGTTCCGCGATTTTTTATAAACGCACGCTGGAAATCAATTTTCTCCATAATTCTATTGCATTTTTTATTTATTATTTCATGTGTGTATTTGCTTTCTGGTGCAGACTGAAACGGGTAGTCACTAGAGTTTTGTGGTACCAGACTTTTGAGTATGCGTGACGTGAATCAGCAGAACCTTGTAGAATCAACTAAGAACCAGTACCTAGAGGACAGGGAGGCATAACGGACCCTGCAGATAAAAAGGTGCTTTAAAATCATTTAAATACTAGTGGCGCCACCTCTACAAAGTTATTGCCATCAAATTTTGCTTCGGACAGTTAGCAACAAGCCGGCAAGTGTGACCTACGAAATTTTAAGAAGGTAAGCTATATTTGGTAGAATTTAATATAAAAATGAAACACTATTTGAATGCCTGTACTATTTACCTCTATAATAAGGTCCGTTTTCTAGTATATAGCAAAAAGGCAAAACGGACAGGGCAAAATTGACCACTTGGTCTATTTTACCTTCCCGTTTCGTTTTGCCAATACAATTTTTTTAAACAAATCTTTTAATCATTTCAGATGGTTAGAACTAAATAAAAAAAAGACCGAGATGCAAAAATCTCAAGAAGAATCAACGAAACAAGCAATAATTAAAGTTGCAACTAAGGGTGTATTTGGAAACGCTTTTGAAAACTGACATACAACTTGGCAGGATGAAATAATATTCAGCGTAGCTTTGACCCAAGCATGGGAATGGCCAGTAGATATTGGTTTGATAATTTTTTAAAACGAAATCAATCTCGATTTTAGACTTCGCAAACCAGAGGCCACCTCAGCTGCCAGAGCTGCGGGGCTTAATCGGGTTTCTCGTTAGCAGTTTTTTTTTCACTCTAAGTTGAAGTTATTCACAAGCATAAACTAACACTAGATAGAATATATAACGTAGGCGAGACGGGCATGACTAAAAGCAAGTTAGTTTATCAAGGGACCAATTAGTAAGTACTGTATTTTGGTTTAATGCAGAGGGCTGCTACATGCAACCCTTATTTGTATTTTCGAGAAAAAGATTTAAGCTGGAAATCATGAATAATGCTCCTCGATCATCTTGAGCCACGAGAGTAGCTGGATCCAGAAGGATATTTTTACGAAATGGTTAAATCGCTCCAAATCCGAACTAGAACGCAAGTGATGATTCCGATAATGAACCACTTGCTTCGCCATCTACCAGGCTTCTTTAAATAAAAGCTTTATCGTTTCGTATGAACAAATCATGCCAGTACCAAAAACGGAACAAGCAAAAAGGGTGACCCGAAAAAGAGGTAAGATCGCTATGATTACATCTTGAAATTAAATTGAAAATATCGCAAGTAAACGCTCAACGAGTCAAACGAAAAAGCTGTGTTCAAATATGATAAGAATAGTGAAGAAGAAGACGCAGTATCTGTATTATCACTATTTCAAAGTCAACGGAAGGCTAGGTCCTATGTCTCACATATAAAAGTTGGGCTAACTGCTCCTGCGCTGGCGCTGAAGATGAAGACGAAGAAGCGTTTTTTACTTGCGAAACATGCAAAAATTACCTAAATGTTTTGTATTAAGACTTAAGGCTTTATGCGGGTAGCGTTGTATCTTCTATGACATACTATATCACACAAATATAAGTTCAGTTTGTCCAGGGTACCATTTTGCCTTCTGTTCCCCTACTGTTTCTATTTTCTAAGTATTGTTTTACACTATGTCGTAAATTGACGATTTGATCATTCGAGATATTGCGGGATCTACTCTTCGATTAGAAATTAAAAAACCCAGCAAACTAAAATGTAAGATAAATATTCTAATGCAAATAAGAACAAAACTAGCACAATGACGATATTGTAAAAACAGGTATTATCGTATTTTTCTCTTTTGCATTTTTGAACGATCTACTCAGCTTTATTCCTTGCATTATGTCGGACTATTATCCACTCACCACATGCGAATGGTTCGGATCACCTTCCCTAGGCCTCAAACCTAACTGATTGTAGTGGTGCAATCCTGATAATCCACCGTAAGGGTCTGTCAGGTACTCCAAATGTTGCTGCGGCGGGGGACTAGGAGCGTGATGAAAAGGTGGCGGAAAGTAGGGCGGCTGGAAGTCTGGTTGGGGCAGTTGGTGTTGCATGGCGGCTGCGGCGGCGGCGTGATGAAGGCCCCCAGCCGCCCCCCGACCTGCCCCGGACGCCCCAGCGCCGTAACCTGGAGAGCTGCCGCTTAACGCTAGAGAGCCGTGGCCACTAGCTGTCAGACGATCCTGAAAAAAAAACAATAAAAATATAAATTTGAAGAAAAGGTAATAATTATTCAAAAGGCAGAACTTTTATTAAAAAAACAGAATAATAAACTAGTTTTTTGATTAGCTTTGGATAACTACGTTATTAAATTTTGTGGTCATGTGGCTTTATCAGCGAGGTTTATCACACAACCTTGTTGTTAAAAAGAAATTAGGAAGAGAACATCGATTTGCAAGATCCAAAATTTAAGGTTCGCAATTTTTTTCATCGCGTTTTAATAATTAAATGCTAATTCAAGACCAGATGCACGGTTTCTTTCACCACTATATAAAATGCATTTTAGTAGTATATATAAATAGGGACATAATGGCATATCCATAATAATGAGCCAGTAAATAGTGACTTTTGTTTTCTGAGGTAATTTTGCTTTTATACTCCGTTCAGCTTTCTTGCTCAAGGTTGCGAGTCACTTCGGACATTCCTGGGACTTTAGTCACGGATTTCAGAGCAATCGGGTAAATGTTTTTGGTAGTTTTCAGCCATGATCATGTCACATGTCACTCAGCGAATGTATTGCAAAAATCAACGCAAAAACTACATAAGGTATAGCTTGCAACACATTGATAAACCGCTTCAGTCACTCGATCAGCTAAGCCTTGCTTCTGCCAAATGAAACTCATGACCAGAATGCCGTTTGTTAAACTTTTTGTATTATATACTATTTGCATTTAATTCAAGTCGAATACTGCAACTGTTTTTGTTTTCATTTTTCGCATATGAACAATTGAAGCAATTTTTTCAAAAGTGCTGTAACCGTGCTACACTTGGTTATGACTATCGTCGCAGACTGGTATGGCTAAAATATATGGTAAATGAAATCATGAAACAACCTTTTTTGAAAATATTCCGACAAACAATTTTTGGAAAGGCTTTAACTATAGAACAGTGAAGTGCAACTTATCTTAACGCAAACAAATTCGTTGGTTTACGATTAATTTTTTGAAGAGCCATTTTTGCCGCTGAATCCAATCCCATTTAAGTTGTCTGGTGTGATTTTCCCGTTTTTTTTACAGTCATTAGTACGCTAAACAATACCGATCAATTTTTGATTGGTAAAATTATTTGTTTTTTAAAGTTAATGATCAAAGGAAGCCGGATACAAACTCAAAATAAAATGCATAATAAAAAACACGGAAAGTAGCGGAATCGCGATAAAATTGGTTATTCACACTAATTCAAAAACTTCTTTGAACTTTTTCTTTCTGTGAACTCGCGTTCTTCCAGACGGGTGCCGTTTTAACTTATTTATGGTAATTAAAGTTAACGAACAATTTTGTCATTTTCAATGCTATTTTAATTAATCCGAAAATTCCTAAACTCGAATTGATGTAAGGCATGCATCAAGCCACTAACAAAATGATTATTAACCGTTCTCCCGACAGGTAGTGTTGTGTCTTGACTTTATGCTGGATGCGTCATAATTTTGTTTTGAAGCCAAATTGTTCTGGTGTTTATTGTTTTCTCAATTATGATCAAACAATAACATACGTACAACGTACACAGTACAACTAAATAGATTTATTAGTTTTATTACTTTTAAATTCGAGTTGCACAATTATTAGAGGTATAAAAAACAAGTAATACAAACTTAACACTTAACACTTGCGAAATAAATTGGGAGAATTATATGATAGACAGGCAAAGTATGAAAGTGAAGTGTTTTAGTGTATTACTTGAATTCAAGAATCGAAATGTTAAGAAACAACGTTATGTCAATGTCAATGTCATGAGATGAAAGCAAGAGTCGAAAAAGTTGTACTTTTACTTTATACGATAATACAAATTTTTAAAAAGTCACGGACGTACTATTTAAGTTAAGATACCTCCCGGGACAAAATCGATTTTAATTAGGTAGTTTATTTGAATCTTAACGTAACAACGACCGCGAAAATGCTCGCCAGTTTTTTCACTTACCAAATTAATATCGTTTAGGTTGTCATTCTTCATAAACACAAAAACAATTTTAAGGAAGTCGTTAAAACAGATAAGAATCACAATCGAAAGCACAACTAATGCCGAAATTCACATAAAACGATAAAGACATCCATAAACCAGACGAGTTACGGTTTGAAACTGAGTGTTGCGTCGGGTCGCGTCGTTACGTCACGCTCTTAGAAATAATCAAAGTCCGTCACACTAGACCGCGCTGCACATAATTCGGCGTCACTCATTCAACAGATCAGCACCTCGAGTAATCTAGGATGCCATGACTATCGGGTTGCCCCGAGGATAAAAGCACGTGGAGCCGATTATTGCCGAGTAATATTCTCCCACCATGACGGTCTTTGGCGTGCGGCTAGCGAATTATCACCAACGATTCGACGAATCGCATTTTATATAATCCGGAGCTTTTAAACAAATGAGCTTTTAGATATCGGCTTCATTTCTGGTTACGTACGCTCTAATCAATGGAAACGGCAACTGAAGCATAAACATTTTATTAAGAAAAAAATATAGAAGCATATAAGCATTAACAAAATAGTACTGTATTGTTCTCCCATCCCAGTTTCTACTTTTCGGAAAGATATAAACATATCGACAAAATTTGAAAAAATATGGATAAAAATTATGCATCTAGATAGAAACACATAACTGTTGCTATATGTGGCCAATTAGCTCTAATCATATGTTTTTCTTTCAATAAAGCCTCGATCGGGTTTCCACATTATACTTTAAATATTGGGTTGTTCGGAAAGTCATTTCGTTTTTTTTGGGGAACATGAAAGACAGTTTTCGTATAATAAATAAATATTTTATTAAATTATATATTGGCCGTTCTGGTCCAACACCTTTTGCCATCTTTCTGGCAGTAACATAATTCCCCTCTCATAAAAGTTTTGGTTCTTGCTGGCAAAAAACTGGTTCAGGTGGTTTTTGACATCTTCATTTGAGGTAAAGGTTTTGCCATCCAAAAAATTTTGCAGGGACCGGAACAAATAGTAGTCGGAAGGTGCCAGATCTGGAGAATGTGGTGGATGTTGCAGTACGTCCCATTCAAGCTGTAAAAGTTTTTGGCGAGTGACCAAACTTGTGTGAGGTCTCGCATTATCCTGGTGGAACACTACACCCTTTCTGTTGATTGATTCGGGCCTCTTCTCTTTAAGTGAATCATTCAATTTGTCCAGTTGATGACAATAGACTTCTGAATTAATCGTTGTATTGTCCGGCAAAAGCTCAAAAAAAAACAATTCCTTTGACATCCCACCAAACGGAGAGCATCACCTTTTTTTGGTGATTGTTGGCTTTTGACAAGCTTTGAGCCGGTTCATCTTTTCTGCTCCATGACCTCTTGCGTTTAACATTGTTGTATACAACCCATTTTTCGTCCCCAGTAATAATCCGCTTCAAAAATGGATCATTTTCTTGACGTTTGAGGAGCGAATCACACACGTCAACGCGACGACACAAATTTCGCTCCGTAAGGATATGGGGCACCCACACATCGAGCTTCGAGGTTAAGCCCATGCCTTTCAAATGGCCATAAACAGTCGAATTCGACAAATTTAATCTCTCACCGATCTCTCGTGTGGTTATTCGCCGATTTGCATCAACTAATGCCTTTATCGCATCTTTGTCAGCTTCGACCGACCTTCCAGACCGTGGTGTATCTTGGACATCAAAATTGCCGGATCGAAATTTTGCAAACCAATTCTGGCACTGGCGTACTGTTAACACGCCTTCTCCATACACATCCGTCAATTTTTTTTCTCGCTTGGACAGCATTTTTACCTTTTCTGAAGTAAAAAAGTAAAATATGACGAAAATGCTGCTTATTGCTCTCCATATTTAAAAGGGCACCAACCAAAAACTACTGCGTAGAATTAATAGAACTTTTTCACACACAAGCCTTGCAATATCAGCTCTCAAGACATATAATGGTTATGCGGCTTAAGTGTGAAGTTGGTTTCGAAAAAACGTAATTAAGTCCTCTGACGGGAAAAAACGAAATGACTTTCCGAACAACCTTATATATATAAGATATTGCCCTTGCGTCAATCTCCACAAACCACACACCACACATCATTTATCGGTGTTTTCACAGGTAGAATAAGCTGGTCAAAGGTTCATGTAAACATTGAGATTCCAAGTAAAATTATTGTTTTTTGTTTATGGAGGGCATAATGGAATTCGTGAACAAGTTTATACTTTTCAGAGGAAAAAAGAATATTTTTAATAAATCTAGTGGAAAGCCATCTAGCTGAAACCACTCATTTCCAATTGTGAGCAGAATTAATTTTGATATAGCACATCTAAGTGTTCTTTTAAACGTTTACCAAAAATATTTTTGATGCTGGATACTTTAAATAACCACTAGAATAAATTAATCGACTTTTGTAAAATTTGATAGCACCAACATTTTGCTGCAATAACTGTTGAAAATATTTTATTTGAAAAAAATTACAATGAAGTTAAGGAACTTCAATTCTTTCAAGATGTTAATTTAAAACTCTACTTTTCTAAACTGCTCGTATTACTGAATTGTATTTTACATACTCTAAACGAGTTTTATAAAATAGTAACAGCTGGAACGTGGATATTTCATTTAGTAAGACTCATCGAATGAATAATAATGATTATAATCCAAATATCTCCCTCGCTTGAAAGAAGTGGATACATTTTTAAGTATAGGTTTTCTTAAAAGAAAATTTCGTAATAACATAACATAACAATAACATCCAGAAATGGAATTATTGAGACGAGCATTGAGAATATCTCGATTGGAACATATTCCAAACCAAACAAGTAGAGAAAGAGCAGCCATAAAATTGGATATTTTAGAGAGAATTGAGCGCAGACAACTAGCAAAGGCTGTAGGACCCCCGCCTATACATATAAATTTGGAAAAATTTGAAAATATAAAGTTTAGTGGCTATTAGTAATTAAATTAGTAGTAAATTACTAATTAAGTTCGTTACACCTTTTTTTTGGTTCTATCCAAACTTGACTTGATTGAAATCAT